ACTCATTCTAGCCCTTGATCAAACACAACTCATGTCTTATCTCCTTTTCTAGTCCCAGAAAAATATCACATTATTGAGCCTCCCTTAGACTGACCCATGCATTTGTGATAGCAAACAATTAAGACACTTCCCTGCTTTCTATTTACCATGACTGGTAGAACTCTGAGACACTGCCTTGAAACAAAAGCCATAGTCAAAGAGCATCAATAATCTGGCTGATGGCTTTGCATGAGTACACATTTAGCTTAAGAATTTCTACCCGTCCTCTCTTAAAATAAAGGCTCTCTTATTCTTTTAATATTTGCAAGTAAATCAGGGTAACTCATTGTAGATGATTAAAGTCTGAGGAGAAACATGCCCAAAAAGCAGCTCATGTCAGCCCCTATATTGCACTTATGCTTCAAGTCAAGTTTCCTCCCAGCAGAGTGAACCTGACCTCACATGTGGTCAAATACCTTTGGCAAAAAATAAAAATCAACGCATTATTACCAGTAACATCAAGTAGTATTTTATTTGTTCTAAATTTATCAGAGCAATAAATAAACTTGATCTCTCCATGCTTCCAACATCATAACTTAATCAATGCTATAGTAAGTGTTACACAACTTTTTTGTGTCCATCCTAAAGAAAAATTAATCAAAAGTTTCCTCTAAGAATCTTGTTGGACATGGCACTAACTGAAATGAAACATTTTTGAGATGGAGCATGTGTCCCATTGTCGAGAACATTCAATTTCTCCGCAATTTTGACACCATGTTATGTTTTTCATCCTCAAGAATAACACTTCATCTAATTGATCACCAAACTTATAACAAATGGCTTCTTTAAGAGCCAAAAATTAAGGTTAGCCAATGAATTCAAGAAATTCTTCTTTAACTTTGTTACCAATTAAAATGAATATTTATAAGCTAACACCACCATAGTAAATAAAGGTAGGTAATCAACAACTTCAGTCAATATAACACAACTTGAGAAGCATGTAGTATGCCTTGTCACATGGCTTGCTGGGAATGTGACATAGCGCAACAGTGCAATGAGGCTACATGACCTATTACCCTACTCATGAGCTTATTTTGTCTTATCCAGTCTGGAGAGAAAGACAGGCTTTGCTGATATTCTTTTTCTAATTTTATATTAGTGAGGAAATGTCAGACAAGTACAGCTTTCTTTTTTTATTTATTTCTTTATTTATTTATTTAATGGATTCATACAAGTACAAGTACAAGTACAAGTACAGGTGTATAACAATAGGACATAAGTCCCCTACTTGGTTAATGCACCCTTTACTTTCCTTTAAAGTCATTTCCAAACTGCAACAAGACTGTTTCCCCCCTTGCTTCACCATGTAGTTGTCTGCACTACTTTGGCCATTACCTGACAGCTGTTTACATAACATGTTGTACACCTCAGGGGTGTCAAAAAATTTGAGTAATCAGTTTAAGAAGGAGTCTTAATAACCCCTTCACTCTCAAGGTGTTAGTATCAATTCGTAACTATTGATGTTTTCCTTATAGGTTTAGTTCTGACCGTTTAGGATTAAATCAATCAGAATCCCCTTGTTGATAAATTTCTCTCTTCTCATCACCTTTCTGGATGATAATGTATCACACTGTAAGAAGAAATTACTCACTGGTCACCCATCAAAGGCCAGATTGCAACTCATTATTTTTTATCTGAGTTGTAATCAACATTTTATGAATCTTGCACATCAATTCATTGTTGTGATTTAAAACCTACAAAATTTAAAACATAGTAGCATATTTTGTAATATGAATCTACCTACCTAAAATGACCAACAATAAAATACCATTTATCAGTTTTTGATCAAGCAGAAGAGGGAGAATGCAGGACCTAACAAAACTTTAACATTTAAATAGGGGTTGGGATTATCAGTGTTTAAATGGTATCATTCAAATTGTAAAGAGCTAATAAATGAGGAAATTGAACCAACTGAAAAAGATTTAAGCCTTCAGATACCATAATTAACAGTTAAAAAAAGCAAATTTTATCACAGTGCAAAGGTGACCGTCATTAATTTTTAAACAAATTAAAAATATTTCAAATTCTTCACCTGTTAAATTCAAATGCATATACTTTGGACAATATTAATATCTATCAAAACAAATATTGTTATAAGGTAATTCAATAGCTATGAGCTACTTGCTAAGAGAAAGTACAAAGTTTTGAGCTTTAAAATTTCATTTTATGAATTTCAGTATGTTTTACTCCTTTAATATTACATGCATTTTAAATTTTAAAAAAATTAGGTTTAATTTACGATGCGATTAAAACCATTGTGCGATCGCTCGATGAAATTGCTTCAGCAATTCGATGAATAACCCATTAATGTCAAGCCAAAATACTCGTCATAAATGATAATCTGATTTCTGTATAATAAGGTGTAAATGACATAAATGAGCCCTGCAGTTAACTTACACGTGAGGTGGGAGTTCGTAAAGATTTTCCCCTCGGTACTTTTCGATAGCTTCTTGATTGTAAATTGGAAGAGTCTTGTAGGGGTTTACGGAAACAACCACTGTTCCGATGTAGGTCTGTTGAAGAAAATAAAATGCATCTAATTATAACACTGACACAAAGCAATAATTCACAAAAACTATCACTATGTGTTCAGGTAATCAGTTTCTGCTGATTTATCGTGGAAGAAAATATTAACAAGCTTTGTCAATTGTAAAGTTAGCGAAAACAGCTGAGTAACGGGAAGTATTTACAATCAGAGTAACACTTTGGGTACTGAAACTAAAATAGGGTTCCAAATACAGATTACAATGGCACTTAGGGACAATAAAAAATCGTGTTGAGCTATCAAGTTCAGTTCTGGAATGAAGGGTTGAATTGCTAGCGCGCTGCAAATGAGCACCTCGCGAATCAAATCATACTTTCGTATAATTAAGCAAATTTTCACGTCTTTCTATACTCACATAAATCAAGCCAGAGTTGTAGCGCTTCCTCAAGTTATCTAAGAAGGCGTCTTCGCTTTTAAAGTCCTCAAGAAGAACGAAATCTTGAACTCCAATGCGATCCCTGGCTTGCAGATCGCTCTCCATGACTAAACTCACGGCTAAAACTTAGGAATGCAAGATTGTCTGAGTAGAAAAATGATTCCTCCTTGTGATAGACCAAAACTCACGAGAGAATAAAGTTTAATTGAGGCGGTAAACTAGTGTTTTTCGTTCACACTTTTGCATTCAAGAACTGAAAGGTCAGAAAAAAGCTTCGAAACAACTTCACCACCGGTTGAAGTAAAGTTTGACGGCTCTATTCACACCCCAAAAAGTTTGCTGGCGCACGTAAGGGCTTGTGACCACTTAACCTGATACCGGAGATCTCTGACCGCAAAATTTATCACCACAAATGGCGAGATATATTTGAATTTCTTGCCGACTTTGTTGTGGCTGTCAGCAAATCTTTCCTTCCTTAAATGGCTACATGTAGAGGCACATTTTAGAGAAATCAATATAAGAGTTTAGCTGACGTTTGAATTCTAATATTACCGCTAACGGATTAACCAATCACATTCCAATGTCGCCTGACAATAGTTTCCGGTCATCGCTGACCCCGTGAACCTATTTGTTTGAAACGAGTTTCAAACAGCTTTAAATGGTTATTCTTTTACTTCCGCCGACATATCATAGACATGTACCTGCTGTGTTGCTTTGTCTTTCGCTCAATATTCAAAACCCCTCATCTAGCCATTCTGATATCACAGTTTTGTGCCACAGTTCGAATAACTTTGTACAATTGTTAGTTCCCGGGTTTTTTTTAATCACATCCACATTTCAGTGCTTCGCCCAGTATTTTGCCATAACCGTGTGGTTCTGGTTCAGTCAAGAAGGGAGAATCTGGTGAATCACAAACCCTTAAAAGTGGGCGTGACATAGTGAATGGCACAGTACCCATTCAGACTTGACACCTTTTTGTTTCCTAGCCCCTTTTCAAATATTCTTATCTGCAAATTCTTTGGACACTTGTTTGTTTTATCAAATGTTAAATAAATAACCTAATAAATTACAACTGATTCTATGACTCCTGATAAAAAGTTCCATCATCAAAGAATACGACCGCGAGTAATCTGGGACCAAGTTATCAACATAAACATGGCTGCCTGCTTGAAGAGTTTGATTGGATTATAGAATGGAATATTTTCGATATTTAGAGCCGTGGCTTGCTTCCTGGAACATCTCTCTAGATTCTGTACATCTCCTCTCAAATAAAACAGTGAAATGGAGCGAAATCAGAGAGAACTTTAGGGATCTCTGGCGAAACGACGATTGGCAAATTCGTTTGTCTTGGTTTTTGATTGTTTGTACAGTAGTCAACTTCGTGTTCATCGGTATAGCGTGGAAAATTTACGGTGAGACAATATCAAACATGTTCTTTAACAAATCAAGATCACCGTTACACCAGAGGTCAAAAACAAACGTGTTATCAAGCAGCATGGAAGACTTATTCGTTAAAAAGATTCAGTAACAAGACATACACAGGTGACGTCGACGTGTATTACGTACACCCCGTATGAAGTGTTTAACCCAGTACGTGTTCTTTGTTCGACTTCAGTTGTGAAAAATGATAGTATGAACTGTGTATTGTCTATGAAAATGAACTTGAGGATCTGATCAACATTACGAGTGAGTTTCTGTAGGGGATTTCCAATTTGAAAGGTCAGAGTAATACAGGTTTGGATTGATTTCTTCCTCAAGTGGTCTACTTTCTCAACCAATCGAACGCTAAACGAAAATCATATGAGTTCTCATTGGCTACTTGGGATATTTTCCATTGCTCTGATTGGCTTTAGTCTTTACTCTGGTTTCTTAGCACAATTTAAATACACATTTTTGTTGCCAAGAGTTAAGTATCAGATTGTAAAACTGAAGGGCTTACAAATTAAATTCTGAGTCCCCATGAGACAGTTACCATCTTTCTTATTCTGTTTACAAGAAAATAAAGATGTTACTATTTGCTGAAAAAGTTGTGGGGACAAAGAACATACTTTCCTTTAATACACTGATTTATTTTTAAACCAAATTTATACAAAATAAAGTTCCTTCCTAAGATAAAATAACAGTGTCAAAACTACATATTCTGTGTATGGAATACTTCATGAATGGATATTTTTCTTTAGTTGACCATTAATATTGTGGAAATACTCCCTTGAAAAAAGCTAATAAAAAATTGAGGAACATGAACCACTGAATAATGTAGCTGAGTTTCCCTCTATGATCTTTATGTGAATAGGAAAGTGTTTAATATTTAATTGAAATGAGGCTTCCCCTTACTTTTGCTTTTATATGACTGCAGTTATTCTACAAAAAAAAAAAAAAAGGATTTTTTTTCCTGGATGACTCATACTGTCAAAATACACTAGTGACTTATTTTTTCCAATATACTGTGTTGTTTTCAGCTGAGGGTACATAGCTTTCTGATTATCCCCAGGGTCAACAATATTTATAGCCTGTACACAAAGACCTTTCACCAGTTGTTGTTTTGGCAGAGAAAAGTGACAACCTAAAGGACATTTCAGTTCTCCTGCTACAACTTTGAAGGAATTAAACTATTCTGCATTTCCAAAGTGGATAAAGGATGATTCTTCCCACCAAAGAGTTTGAACCCAACTGTTTTAAGCAGTAGTTGCTGTATCATTACAAAATGGCATTGGCTCCAATTCAATAATCAGTACCAAAGTGTCAGATCCTACTGTATGATTGCCACTGTGTACAATTTAGCTTACTATAAAAGGTTCTTCATTGTTAAAATACAACAAATTTCATTTATATAAATTTTAAATATTGTGCAACAATATATTAAATATCCTCAAATTTATAATTAAGTTTAATAAATATATTATTGTTATTGACTTAGAGCACTTCCAAAATTTTCCTCACTGTGGGGTTCACCTTAAAAGATGGAAAAAGAAAGTACATCAGGTGAGGAAAAAAAATGAACACATGTTAGCATGGAAATGAATAAACGAAAATATAACAGAGTTAATCTGTATACTAACAATCCTCTTTCCTTTCCTCCTGCTAAAATTTATTCATCCATCTATCATCAACCAGAGTCTAGACAATTCTCCCACAGCCTGATTACTCTATGGCAGAGTTTTGTTTTTGAGTTTCATTTTGCCTCTTGGCAATTTTTTTTTTCAACAGAAAGTGAAAAATTTTTGCTGTTCAAGATTTCTGAAATTTCTGGTGAGAACTAATTTTTGCAATCTTCTTTTCAAGCGGCAGAACATCAACAAGGAACACAACCTGACATTTTTAACACTTTTAACCCATTAAATTAAAGCAAACTTGACTTCAAACACCTGATTCACTAAAGTAAATTTAATATCTTAGACCCTTACAACCCAAAGGGCCTGACTCAAAAACAAAATCGCACAAAAGCCTCACCCTAGCCCCCTACCTACTCTTATGGTGCCTTTGATTTGAAAAAAACATGATACTTTTAGCAACATTTCATTTCCTAGGTGCCTTCTTTTGGAAAAGAAAATTTACCTAATCCTGCCTAAAAAATACAACAGTTGTAAAACTTACAGGGAATCCACTAAGTTTGGATTTTAATCCACAGAAGTCAGCCTCTTCAATAATTTCCTTTGAGCTGTATGGGTTGTTCTTTTCTGTTACCCTAGAATGAAAAAAAAAAAAAATATATATATATATATAGCATGGATCAGCAGTTGAAGGAACTTTAGAATATTGTTCTCAATATAACTGGGGTTACGTGAATCAGAGCCCATCAAAAACGTAGAACTGAACAATCTCATTACTCAAAATTAACACTGAATCCCATTTTAATTTCTTATCATGTTTTACTTGTTTTAGTCCAAAGCAATGACTGGCAAAAACAAAATTTAGTTGGAATCACTGTTTGTTTCTTATATATCAATAGACTTGTGACAGTGCAGTGCTGTTTGCACAACACCAAACACAACCATGGCACAGGATACAGTTATACCGAAATGTTTAAGATCCAAGCAAGCTAACCACTTCACTATGTACTTACTGTGTTTCTGAGAAGAGGAACCTTTCAGAAAATGCAGCAATTGCTGAAAACTGTGCAAGACTGAAAGTAGACTTCTCATTTCCTTCAACCATCTGTAATTGAGAAAAAATATTATCTAACTTATAACTTGAGCTGAAAACAATAACTATTTTTTTCATCAGTTATTATGATAATAATTACTTCCTGCTCAGTCAATGATGCATATCAAGGTATCAAGGTATAACAACATCATTGTAAAACAGCTGAATAGCGTTAAAGGTGTGCTGTGATTGGCAACTCAAACTCCAAATATCCTTTGCCATTCACCTCCAAGCAACACATGCAGGATTTGCACCCAAAAATATTGTAATCATTGCAGGTATAAAATTAACTAAAATTATCTTTTTGAGCTATATTATTAACATGTACCACTGGCCACCTTTACTTTGGTGAATAGATATTAAGTACTAACAGAATCTTCTTGGAAAAAATGGAGGCACAATGACATCAGACATACCTCTATTAGTTTCTTGACCTGTTCTGTTGATATAGAGTCCACATGTATCTCCCTTAAGCCCTTGTCCATCTCCTTTTAATCAAATTAAAAGAAGCTTATTGAATTTTGACACAAATTTTAAAACTAGGATATGGATAGATCAAAATACTTTTAGTTGAATTACCTACCTTAAAAGTTATTTGATTATCTCTATCTTTATCCACTTTCTGAAATATATGTTTGTAAAGTGCTTTCCTTCTTGTGCTAGAAAGTAACATACTGAATTAATTCAATCTGAAGAAATGTGCTCTGTAGTCAGATGATTAAATTGTGGAACTAAATGACTAAATGGAAGATTTATCCTCACAGGTTCACTGTGATAAAAGAAACTGCAGAAGATAAGTTTGAAAACTTCAGGCTTCACCCAGGTTTGCACCAATGCCTCTTATTAACTAGTTTGTTGCTCTAACAAATGAGCTACCGAGCCACATGCTTTTAATGAGCTCTCTGTTCCATTTAAAGAAATGTGATTGCAAGTGAATGCACTAAATTATACTTTGATGTGTGCATGATTACAAATGAAAGAATGATATTCACACTAAACTTGAATTAAACAAGTTTCAAAAGAGAATTCTCAGCTGATAAATTTAGGATTTGACAAGGTTCAGTTGTATGCCAGTCCCAGTTATCAGTTGCCCACTTGGAAACTTTGAAGCATCAGGCTCCAGATGAGGCCCAAATTTTTTCAGGCCTTTTTTTTTTCTTTTTTTTTTGCAATTTGTTTGAATGCAATTCAACTGAGAGGATCATTCTTTCCTTTGAAATTAACTTCAGGTCAAAACATCATTCATTTCATCACTTCTTGAGAATTGCATGGCAGCGGAACATTATTCCAAAGTTTGATGATGAAGAGACAAGGTTCACTTGAGATGAATAGGCAACTAACCTTATGATACAGTACTTTGTCAAATACTCCATTGGTGTCATTTCTGAGGAAATCAAAATTAAAATTCATCATGGCAAGATTGATAAGTCACACTGCTCAGGGTTAAAGACACTCACAGAAAAATATCATGATGACTATACAAATTACCTTCAAGTAATTTAACATCCATAGGAAGCTCAAATCTACTTGTTTGCTTAGAAAGTGCTAGTCTTCCCTGAAGCCAGGGTTTCATTCCTTCTTTCCTTTGCTGCAGAAAAATGAGAAAAGTAATTCTGATATAGAGAATGGCTATCATAATGACTGTGTTGAGTATCAATCAACCAATCAATCAATCTTTATTCCTCCTAAGATAAAAAGACATATCTTAAGTTACATCAGCAGTAATAGGAATCTAAAAATACAGAAGACATACTGTATATATATACATAAGACATACTATATAAAATAATAGAAAGATTAAAGATTATATTTGAAGATAAGCCTATTTACAAAAACATTCTTAAATCTTTCAGTCTTTATATCTGGGCAATGAGCACTTTTGTTTCTGAGTTGGTACTTTGCTTCTTCTTCAGAATGATGTTACCAAGCAGGCAATAGGAATCTACTGAACATACCCTGAAAATCTTCCTATCTGCCTTTTCTAAAGTTCTCGAATGTCCATTCTCTTAGATGTGTATTTCCTTTTTAAAGCATCTGTCCATAAAGTTTTGTATGACCATGAGATCTGAGTCTATAGCACCATAAACAGGCAGACCATAAGTGAAATGTGGTAAAACTAAGGCACTAAATAGGTGGTCTACTTCACCTTGACTGAAACCTTCCTTCTGTAAAGGTCTTAATACAAACAGACACTTATTTGGCTTAATCAACTTAGCACGTACGTGTTCTCTATACTTACAATTCTCCTAAAATGTAACACCTAAAATGGGCAGCTTCATGCATTGTGGAGTATCATTAACTTGCACAGTATGCCAGGCAGCATATCTACCAATCACACCAGGAGTACCTCTGAGATTTTTGCTGTTCTTGAAAATATCACCCCTAACTACCCCTATATCAGACCAACTTAAAACCACATTGAATGTCCATTCTCTTAGATGTGTATTTCCTTTTAATGCATCTGTCCATAAAGTTGTGTATGACCATGAGATCTGAGTCTATAGCACCATAAACAGGCAGACCATAAGTGAAATTTGGTAAAACTAAGGCACTAAATAGGTAGTCTACTTCACCTTGACTGAAACCTTTCTTCTGTAAAGGTCTTAATACAAACTGACACTTATTTGGCTTAATCAACTTAGCATGTATGTGTTCACTATATTTACAATTCTCCTGAAATGTAACACCTAAAATGGGCAGCTTCTTGCATTGTGGAATGTTATTAACCTGCGCAGTATGCCAGGCAGCATATCTACCAATCACACCAGGGTTACCTCTGAGATTTTTGCTGTTCTTGCTGTTCTTGCTGTTCTTGAAAATATCACCCCTAAATACCCCTATATCCAACCAACTTAAAACTATATTACAAGTTTAATTTAAAAAAATAACCTTTGGTGACACTTTCATCTAGTACATACTCTGTACATGTACATGAAAATAGTTCCTTCCCTGGTCAATAGAGTGGTAAAATCAAGTTAACTGACATACTTGAGTGTCAAAAAGTCTAAAACTTAAAATGAAATAAATCTCACATTACTGCATAAAGCTAAATCACATCTGAGTTACATAAATAGACCTCAAAACAATCAACTTACCTTATGTTCATCCATTATAGATGTCATAACTTCAGTGCTCTCAGCAGAAGGCACAAACCGTGGCATTAATGAGTTGGTTAAAGATTTCTTTAGAGGTCTTGACTCTCTTTTTTGTTCCAACCGATATTCAAGGAGGTCCTGTGGAAATAACTTAAATTAGTTTGTGTAGTTAACTCCTATCCACTGGATACCCATTTTTGCATTGGATAGCTTTGTTCACTCTTTCAAAGCCTGGGTCTTGGAAAATTACTTAACATTATTAAATACAGAACCCATAATCTAAAGGGTCCAGAAAAGAAGATGGAGATGAATTGGCCATGTGCTCCAAATGCCATCATCAGCCTTGCCCAGACTCACTCTGATGGACTCCCCATGGCCCAAGGAAATGAAGGACAGAGCTTGGACATGTGGGCAGCTTGACCAACAGGCAACCAACAGAAATCAATGGCATTCTATGGCAGAGGCCTTATGTGCATACAAGCACAAAGGGCACTAACTAGCTAACTTACAAAGAAGGAGCAAGTAGGGCAGTTTGGGTAAACAGACAATGTTCTAACCTCAAAAAACTACACCTTAACTAAAGTAACAGAGTGTGATTATATTCAATGTTAACAAGGACAAGAAAGCAAACTATGCAAAGAAATTGACTACCAGATAGGTATATCTCAACATTCTATTATAATTTAAATGCAAAGGGTAATTAATAACTCACAAAGATTCTAAAACAGCCTCAGGAGTACACACATTATTCGGCAAAAGAAAACCTTTTTTCGCACAAATTGCCTATCTTGTAATTGAATTGTATTCAGTGTTTTAAATCAAGTAATGTCCCAAATACTTTTACAAAATGCAAACTGTTTCTATCAAAGCTCTAAGCTCAAACTCCTGTTTATAATAGATTCAAGTATGTTTTGTCAACTGCATTAAAACACAAAATAAAATTAGAGTTATCAAGCGTTTGATGTTGTCCTTGAGTAGCACAGTGTTATTAAGTCAGACAAGTAAATCAAGTAAGGCCAGGTATGCTACATTTGCTTTCGTAGGTATGCTTTTGTAGCATACCTGGCCTCACTTGATTTGTATGTCTGACTTTAAAGTTGGAGTTATTGAAAACTTACAAAAAGAATTTGAATTTATGTTTATAACTGTTAGATATACATTTACCTCCAAACTGACCTGCGACTACAAATAAGATAGCACATGTATGAATATTGGAATAAATATTGCCTTGCAGATTCTAAAAAACCTAGTAACTGGAAGCAATACTTATAATTAATTGGTGACAATATTATATTTAAGGTAGTTTGGACAGGTGGTAAGATAATTTCAAGATGGAAAATACTCATTATTATATTTGCTGAGTGGGGGGAGTATACATTTCAAAGTTCAAGAACATGAACTAGATATTGTTTAATACAAGGAAATATATATTACTTTTCTCTTCAATTCTGTTTTTACTAAGAAAAAGACTGTATTTAATTTAGTTCTTTTTTAAACAAAGTCATTCCAATCTTATTTAGAAACTAATTTAGAATGGGAAGATGAGAAGTAATTATTTTGAAAAATGAATAATGCCACCAGAGTGAATATAATTAACTAATTATAAATAATTTATCACAATTTATTGGAAAGAAGAACTTCAAAACATAAAGTACACTGAACAGAGTCCCAAAACAGACGTTTAATGCTGAATTTTATATCATTATTCAATTTGGATCCTTCAGTTCTATTTGTTCATCAGTTCCATGCTGCATTGATGTAAAAACCAAAATATTTTGACATGTAAGGATGTCCATAAACATGTCTCTAAGTATATCCATTAATTAGCAAGTTTGTGATAATGAGGGGAGAATGTCTAAAATACTTCACTTATAGTATAATTATAGTTTAAAGCATTATAAAACCAACAAAACTGCTACTGACATTAATCTCCAAATAAATCAATGAAAGTGTATTTAATTTGTAAAAACTTCCACAAGAAAGAAAACTACAACACTGTTGTAAAACATACCCTATATCAATTTTTTTTCCACAATAATTAAACAACAATGTATTGTCATATGATGAGTGATAATTATAGAATTTTTAATTAGCCACAACTGTCAAATTTAGAGCTTTTTGTCTATGTCAAAGCTTCTCCCATATCTTAATCATTGCAAAACCTCCATGGTCACAAAAGTCTGAGGTTCTACATTTATTTATTACAGTCAGGCTGCCTAAATGATTTTCTGAAAATTTTGGGTTCCCTGCTGCGGACTCTGCTAATTGAAACAATATTAATAGTAAGCATAGACAAGGATAAGAATCCAAGGTTAATGTTCCTAATTAGAAGGGACAAAACTAACAAGAGAAGGCACATGACAAGATACTAGTCAAGAATCAGCATGACTATTAAAACATATTTGTATGAAATAGTGCAGACTGGAATAAGCTACACAAAAATTACCAGATTACCATGGTCTGAAATGTGTTAACATAACGATTAGTGCAAACTACACTGAAGCAGTACGGCGTAGATGAGCTTTCAGCAGCCATACAATCTATATAGTTATTGTAGTCCAAAACTCAATGAAACAAACCTTTGGATCATACATCCTGTAGGCTCCAGGTGCTCTTATATACTCAGGTTTGGGTAAACTGAAAGAGAAAAGTTATAATATCTTTAATTTTCAAGACAATCACTGATGATTATAAGGTGTGTATCATTGTTAGTAGTTTTCATGCAAACCTGACACAGTGAGTCAAACATAGCAAAAGGAAGCTTCTAATCCTCACTCTATTTTACACTGATTTTTCATGGTTTAAAATTCACAATCACCTTTAGAGAAATTTCAAGACAATGTCTTGAAATATATCTCCTTTTATTAGACTTCTCTTCAAAAGATGGCCAAATGTTAAGTTAGGTGAATACCAATGAAGTAAATAAATTAATTATTCTAACTTACACTTCAGGCTCAAGTTTGGGTGCCACCTCTTCTCTTTCTTCTGCCACCTTCTCTTCTTCCTCTGGCCTCTTCTCCTCATTCTTCTCTTCTGTTTTTATTTCCTCTACAGGTTGAACTGGTGCTACAGGAGGTGGTTTCAGAAGTGGTGGTTTTTCCACCACCTTGCGCTCAAGCAATGGTGTTGTTCTCTTCTGTGTGGCTGATGCTACTTTGGGTTCCTCGCGTTTAAGTGTTGGGGACTCTGCCTTACTCACAGTAGGTTTTAGAATAGGTTTGATCACCTGCTCCTTCCCTTCTTCTTTAGATGGCGGTGACTTGAAACTCGTAAGAATCAGAGAATCTGAGAACTTGACTTGATGTGTTTGTGGTTTGGGCCTCTCCACCTCTGTCTTCTGAGGAACGTCATTGAGCTTTTGAGCCACAGGCTCATTATCCACCTCTTTCTCTAGTTCTTTTTCAATCTGAGCAGGTTCCTCCACAGGCTCTGGCATTACAACCTCTTCCTTTACATCATCTAACCTAACATCTTCAGTTGGACTCAAAGTTTCTTCAGTTGCCCACTGTGGAATCTCTGGAACATCAATTTGTATATCAGAATCACTTTCCTCCTTTGTGCCAGCTTCTTTTTGCTCTTCTTTGTTGATTTCAGGAGATGAATTTTTATCAGGTCCTAACTTAGTTATGATGATTTCAAGAACAGGTTCCACAGGATCTGCATCTGAAGTCTTGATATCAGCTGGAGGTTTTTCTAGTGGTGGCTCAAGAGTCACTTGATTATCAGGCCAATTTTTGTCATCATCACCCAAATATTTTTCAGCAAGACCTTCACAGTGGGTGGCATCTAAATCTTGTTCTGTTTGTAACTCTTCATCTAGAGATAGACCAGAAAAATTCGCAAAAAGATACAATTTTCAAGTAAAGTGATTTCAAAACCAGAGATAATTCAGTACTTCAAACCGGCTGAAACTTCCAAATATATATTAGTTCAAGCTAATTATGTTGCTACCAATATACTCAGGTCAGTGTGCAACAATTTTTTCACATCAAAAACCCTACACATCTACATCACTTTCTTCCAAGCAATATCAATACACTATTCCTGTCCAGCAAAGACTTCTAGCTAAGACAATGTTGACCCCAAGAAATGAACCCAAATCATACTGGTGGTTCTAAAGAAACTGTGGTGCTGCATCAGAAGGGATTACAAAATAATTTGTTTTTATCAACTGAGTTTATAACGTGAATTGCCATAACTGTAAAAAGTTTCTAAAGCTGACATTTCAAGCATTAGGCAAGCTCTTCTGGCGGAAAGCTGGCACCTCCATCACTACTCATATCCGCTATGGATATTCTTCACAAGGAGAAAATTTCAACAATACAGAGTTTCTTTATTTGGCCATCATCCCCTTTATTCTCAATACGTTAACATTTTGATTTTAAGGAGAAATTAGAAACTAGCCACTCTTTGGGGCTAAAGAGTTAATCCATACCTCTTGGTTCTAATGAGTACTCCCTCTCTGATGATGCCTCGGAGGGTGATGCAGGTACAATAAACTGTTCTTCAAACAGCACTGTTTCATCCAAGTCATCCTCATAATTTAAAGGGAAATCAGCTCTCGCCAACACATCTTGATTGTCATTTAGTAAAGAGAGATCATCATCAGGACCAGTTTTAAGATGACCCCCTTCTCCACGTACCCAAAATCCTGCTGGTTTCACAAAGTGAAGATATTTTGGAACATCTCCCCTTTGGAACTGGTAAATTCAAACACAACAAAATTTAATGTGGTCATGAATAAAGTATAATTAATTTACATTAAAAAAAAAACAGTCAAAGCTACTTCATTTGCTGAAACAAACCAGATCATAACCTAAAATCATCAAACTTTTACAGTTTTTTTGTCACATTTTGTCTAGTAAGAGATACATGAAATTGTACAATTTTGTTTCTAGATGTACAGTACTTTTAAAATGCTCTTGACTATTCAATGCTAAAAATATCATTCAAAATAATTTTTTTTTATTTTAAATACCATTCAAAATAAAAAAAAAATTTGAAAAGACCATTTTCAATATATTTTTTTCATGAACACCTGTGTATAGGTAATTTATGAACTTTTAAGATGTAAAGTTGGACTTGATAAATTTAGAAGTACTTGAAGTATATGGAGGGGTAATTACTTTTCATACTCTACGCAAAACTAATTGTTACAGTACCATTGTGAATACCACAGAAACTGAAAAAAATATTTAATTTATTGTATAACCCATACAGCCCTGCAGGCACAATCTCATAGAAAATCATAGTCCACTTGTGAAAGCTGACATGAGTAGGGCTGAAGGGGCTGATGTGAGCTGGTCTGGAAAAAGCTGTTCCACCCTACACTCACACAGCTTTGTTGCAAAAACTTGAAGAAAAATAGAAAAGAGGGGGTGGGGGGGGGGGGGGGGGGGGGGGGGGGGGGAAGTCATGTTTTTCGATGGATTGTGAGTTTCTTGTTCTGACTCAAAAAAACAAAGGAAAAATTAATATTGTAGGTTAAGTCTTTTTCATGATTGCATGAAATGGGTGTGCAAGTCCATCATGTCCTATTTCAACTAATTGTATCTGTAAATGCTAGGTGTCCTGTGCACTAGGCCCAGTCTGCGCTGAGGTGTTGTCATTCGACACTAGGTCAAACCTCGGCATATATGTGCTTTTATCGCTTGTTATTTTCGCCTTTATTTCTCGGATAAGGATCGTTTAACTAGTCTCACATCGAAGGAATAGAACATTACGGAAGCATTACGGATATTTCAGCAGTTTTCAAGGTTACGGATAGAGACAATTGCTTGTTTGTAAGGATTTCTTGTACGGTATTGTATTCGAACGGTGTGCTGAGCGTAGTTGATCGGATCGAATAAAACGTGGAATTGACATCGAATTGACGGCTGTTACAGTATCATATGACAACTCATTGTAGTCTGTAGTCATATGATAATTAAAATCCTTATTGACTGAGTTTGATTGGGCTTGACAAGAAAATATTAGCTCTTGGTTATAATGCATGACCATGTATCATGATGTGTTCTGTCAGTACATCATTATACCTCAAGGCCAAATATTTTCCTGTCTGGCCCTATCAATCAGTTGATAAGTACATAAAATTGTAAATGCATATAATGTATTAACTTACCACAGTGGGTCTTGCAACAGGCCAAAACTGCTGTCTCTGTAAAAGGCCAAAAGATCAGTAATCAGTGACCAAACATATCAAAGTCGAATTGGACTGTTTATATCATCCTTGTGATACATATGATTCTTAACCAACAACACCACATTTGGGTCCTATAATCAAAATCAAAGTATTCCAGATAGGATTCAATCACTTTGTATTGGTGATGTTGTAGCTAAATACTACCAGTTCTTCCTTTGTTGAAAGGATCGTGTACATGTACCATTCACACATCTAATAGAGCAGATAAAACAAAATTTTTAACTGCAGCAATTTAATATAATTAACTTATTATTAATGCTATGTAGAATTCATATGTTTAGAGAAGTTTTGAACAATTTTCTCTACTTTGGGTTTGAACTCACGGACAATTCATTTTCTTCTATCTTAAGTAATACAAAAACCACCTTGACCGTGATAACAATGACGTTACCACCTACCGAAGGAGATGATTTAGGCCTGGGCTGATAAGCAGAACAGCAATGTCTTAAACCATTGTGTGAAAGAACATTCTGAATAACATCTGGCATACAGGTTAAAGGACGAGTAAAAGCTTTTAATCTTTGAATATCAGAACCATGCTTGGGAACACAGTTTACAACTTCAATAGTGCTAAAATCATAAGGAAGAGGAGCTGATTTACAGCGCTCTTTGTGCCGTTTTTCTACTTCTTCTCGGGACATGAGAGAATGCTGACTCTTTGCAGAACTTGTCCTGTTCTGCCATGCACGTTTTGGGGCACTTCGAGATAAGGAGGAGGTGGAACCACCACGTGATTGCCAAGATTTGGATTTCTGGGGAAGATAATAGTCAGCAGGTCTTGGGGGAGCTGATTTGCATCTTGCTTTATGAAGCTGAAGGTATAACGATGTAGGAGATGCACTTGGTTCTTGTTTATTCTTTTGCACTGAGCTGTAAGAACTTCTTCCACTTCTTGACGACAAGGGGCGTGAGGTTGCAGGGGTCGGTGATGGATTGAGAAAAAATGAAGAATGACTTCCCAAGGGACTTGCATTATCTTTGTTATACCCTTTACCAGCAGGATGTCTTCCACCAATTCTAGGAGCTGCACTTTTGACTCGCTGAATAGGTCTTCCCTGTCCAGGCCTGCCGGTATTTGCAGAGTTGAAGAAAATGTGCAATGAGTTAGGATCCATATTATCTTTAGAAGCCTTTGTTCCTTTCGTTGTCCATAATAAATGTTGATCATGAGCCATCATAAGATCACAATACTGGAAATTGAGTCAAAGATCTTTTAAATCAGATTGGCCACCAAATACCACTGACAAACTAATAAGTCACTTGCATGAATTAAGAAAACTTTCATTGTAGTGGTGAGATTTTGTGAGATACTCTCAGTCTGTTGTCAATTTAGGTGTTCAGTGTCAGACCTCAGCTTAACTCATATCAGCAAACTTTTTACAAGCACCTAAACACAAATTTAAACAAAACAAAAGTTTATCAGACAAATATCATACTTATTAATTACAGAATATCTGTAAATTAATTATATCATCCATGAAATAGTTCAAAAAGCACAGACAGACCACCAAACAGACATAACATTACATGAACTTCATTGAAACCAAACCTCATCTTTTTTAAAAAATTAGGGTGCATAAAAAATGAGAAATCCCGAATTTTGCAAAAAAAACTCTGCAAATAGCTTCCACAAGATTTTTAAAGAATATAGTCCAATCAGTTAGAAACTAATGCTCTCTCTGATATTTCTGTTGGGGGTTAAATCACTGAAAATGTTAAATTTATTTTCTTATATCTAACAAAAGAATAAAATTAAAATACTTTTATGAAAATGAAATATCTCCAGTCACACTATTCAGTGACAAGTGGCTGGGGTTTTTTTTAACTATTTATTGACACAAATGGGAAGATCACTCCAGATTAGTTCTGACTAGTTTGTCAAAAAAATTATATTTAACAAATATAATCTGCGCCTCACTTTTCCATTTTTCTTCTTAATTTAAATGTTTTACATTTTCCAATCATCATCTACTGTTTGACTCAACAATGACTAAAAGCAGCAAAATTTGTTTAAATGCTAATCTGCTCTTCAACTAGCATTATTAAAAATTCTCACTCAAAGAAAATAAACAATAATTGTATACAAAGGGCATTCTTAACATTGTTGCCGCAGTGAGGAAAAAAAATAATGAAAAATTTTAATGATTTGATTGGGACAACGACACCATGAACAGTAGTGAAAGAATTCATTGCCTATTTTATGTCCTAAAATGTCCAAGTTAAAAAAAATTGAAAGTTAATCGTATCAGCTGGTCATGTCATACGGAACTACATGAAGCGTCTGCAACACGAAATAAAATTTAATTTCCTTTCTTGAGATAAGTCTAAGAACACATTTGGGCAATTACCTATCAAGAGAACTTTTTTAATTAAAGCTAGGGAATAACCATCCATTTAATAAACCAATTCTCTCAGGGACACAATACAATGTATGTCGTTAATGCCTGCATGTTGTGTTGAAAGACCACGATCATGATTCGAACTTAATTAACTATTTAGGTTTGAAACAGTTCATAACTAAGAAGAGGGTTTTTGACAGTGAAATACGAATAGCAACATATACATTAGGGAAAATAGCATAGAACATACGCTCAGAGGATAATTAAGACAATTCAAAACCAGGGGAAGAGATGCTAAAGTCACGAAAGATGCTTACAAACCTTTCATCTGCTTGCTTCGGTACTAACAGGTCCAAGTGTTGTGGAAACGAGCATTTTTCTCCATGTTTCTATTATTTCTGACCTAACTTCACAGAATTTGGAAGAATGACCCTTGGCTAAGACGCGATAATACGCTCCCCAGCAGGAAAGTAAATATTATTTTGTCGCCACAGCGAAATTTGTCATTAACTGTTTGCCGTTTCCAGCCGGTAAAAATCTCTTGAGCCAATCAGAGACGCTGTAGGAACAAAGGCTTCTGAAAAAACACGCTACTATGTTCCAGTCTCCGCTCTGTATGTTGCCGTGACAACGTAGAACTGTCAAGAGTGATATATTCAAGGTAAGCGCTTTCGTGAGGTAGGAGGCACTTCGAAGGAAAAAAAAAATTTGTTCCTTTGTGCATCATGTCTCAAAGCAGTTCTCCCTCTCCAACCAACATAAACGTAAACTCACTCATAAAAGTGAACCAGCAGTTGCCGGAACAATGGACTTTGGTGAAAGACTGGCACATTGAGAAAAGACGTCCTTGTGAAGATTGGAGACCTCTAGCAAACTCGCAAATAGCTCATATGTATCAACAAATGAAGACATCCATTGAAGAACATCCAAATGCATTATCACGCAGTTGAAAATTATGCCCAACCAAGAACTGAAGCGTAAAATTGGATCGATTTGTTGGAACTTCTGCGCTCTGGATGATTTTAACCTCAACAGACTGTGTCGCTTAATTATTAATAACTGTATATTTGTGGTAAAGTAATATCTGAATGTTATCTAAACTTGTACTTTTTGTAAAATCCAAGACTGAATAGCGACCACACTTTTCAGGTCAGTGAAGATGATTACCAATTGACGAAGAAAAAAACAATAACATCGGAGAAGTACTTCAAAGCCTTTGCATTTGACAATCTTATGAAAAACACTACTGCGAGTGAGGCTTGTTTACGGAGGTGACTTTGTCAGTTTTGTTGATTTTGCGGTCTGTAGATTAATTTAGTTGGTCGAATACATTATATCTTAAAATGACGCGATTATGTAATATTTTACACATAGAGGTGACTGCTCCTGATCAATGTTTTCAGTATTTTGCTAATTAGCAGTCCTCTACTATAAGTGTTGGGTACATAAAGATCAACTAAGTTTTTGACAGAGTTAAGATCGAAGAAAAAACGTGTTAACATCACGATATGATGGAAGAGGTTTGTAGAGACGAAATGCAAAGGAATAACAAATGAAGGTTTTAAGAAAACACAGAGTCAAAGCATTGAATTGAGTGTGCATTAACGAGATTCTAATAAAACGCGTGTCTTTGGGAGTAGAAACAATTAAATCGTTTCTTTTGATAGGTTCTATTGTAATGCTTTACAATGCTGCATAAATATTTTGATCCTTTTTCAATTACTTGCTCCTGGTCCAATATGGGACAGCTTTTCCTGAGTTAAACAAATGAAACCCTCTGATCACAATTGTGATCTACCTGCAAGTTAGCCGGCTTAATTTTGTTTTGCCTTTTTTCTCATTTTTCCCTTGGGGGGAAGGGAGAGACAAAACTTTTCACATTTTCATAGCGTTATGAGGACACCCCTCAGCCCACCCCTCCCCTAAAGAACACGCGCCAATAAGCAACGCAGCAGTAGGTTCAATGTTATTTGTGACGGGGTGCATCATTAAATTCAGTATTAATTGTACCTTTTGGTGGCTAAGAATAATATTGGGTTGCCCTGATTCAGGTGATGATCTTCAGTCAAAAAGAATCTATCTACATGCGTCTTGCGATAGCCGCGCCCCAGAGCACAGTTAAGTAAAGGGAGCACTTGATTTCGAAAGATTTCCAATGATTGTTAACGACTAATTGGTGTGTAGTTGTGAGCAAATTAATGGTTGCGAAATTTTGTGTATTATATTCTAAGCTCCAACGGATATTTTCTCCGTATCTCTAAAACGAAGGATCAACCGATAGGACAGCTCTATTCCCTAAGTGCTATATCCATAACGTGAGTTACATATTTATTTCGTTATTTAGTTCAAAGACCTACAATTTTCACTTAGATCATCGTGCAGTGTACAACACAACGAAAATATGAGTCGTGGGGATCCAAGCAGACGAGAGTGCACCGATTTGGAGAGGGGGGGTGGGGAGCTAAAGTTATCTGCCTTTTGTTACGATCTTCCTCGCGTTACTCATCCTCAGAGACCCAGGGAGAGGAATATACAACAGCAGTTTCCGTTCGACGGTCAATCGACAGGCGATAGAGCCACACTCAGCTCTCTTGCCTTCTAAGCAAACTTGAGCGTCCGACCGAAAGCGCCCTGGTATTTTCCTCTCGCCCGGTTATTTGTCCATTGGCCTCCGAGGATGCATGTAACTTAAATAGTTTATCCATTTTGTAAGGCCTGACAAAACAACACCTCTCTCAGTTTGTTTACAGAAAGGAAAGAAGGGGAATCTTCTCGCCAGTCTTTTTCTTTTATTTTTAAGGGGGTAGGCGTTTTCTACACCATTGATTGAATTACTTATTTCGCCAATTTTTAGGTTTTGGGCAGAGCACCACCTCGTAAAGTTTCCATTTCTCGACGAAAAGTTGGCGAGGATGATCTGTCTGTTATGTGGTCTCCAGGACTGATTCTCAATTCTTTTATGGATTTCCTCGTAAATTATTTAGATAATCGAGTTTAATACCAAGATAGCACCTCACTTCAGCTGATGAATCTGTCAAAAGTCTGTGTATCTCTGCACCTTATCGTTTAGATAATTGGTGAATGACGAGTAAGATTAAAAGTTTGGCGTTTCTCAGTTCTCAAGGCCGCTACCATATGACATAAATAAGATTGTTCCATGATCAGCCTGTTATTCGTCACAATTCCCAGGAAAAAGCTGGTTCCCTCCAAAACCTACTCAGTTTCCATTTTTGTTATAATATTGACAGTAACAACTTGGAGCGTACCGCAGTCAACTATTTATGCCTAACGAGTGTCGTAATACGATCGCAGTATGTTTTTAATAACCGAATCTCAGACGGAGGTGACAGGAACTGAAATTACACCACATCAGTGTGATGATAAGTACCAAAAACTACTAAAATATTGAGAAATATAATACAGTGATTTCGAATAAAGGATAAAATGACGTCTGAAAAATTCATAAAGACGAGAGACAAAGCCATCAAACGGATCTTAAGCCAGCTGGCAAAAGGCTTTTTATCACAAGCTATTTTAGAACCGGAATAGACCAGTATGCCAAAAAATGCTCGTTCTTATATTAAATACTAGACAGGTCACCTTTGTATTTTTTTTCCCACATAAAAGAATAGATTAAAGACACAGCGTAGAAATGATACAATTTGAATACGTAATAAAGTCCTACCTTTTTGGCACTTTCCCTTGCATGTTTGGACCTTAGACCAAATCGTCCAGTTCGGTCCTCGAACTTCGTTTTGTCGAGTGCATTTGTGCATTTATCACAGTCTGACCAAGAGCTTTTGCTAGAAGCAGTATGATTCCTTCGTTGAAAATGAACGTGATTGAGATGATACGAGAACCAGAAGGTGTATTGTTCCCAAGCGCGTTGTGAATTCATGTTTTCCAAGCGAATTCCTCAAGTCTTCACAGCGCCAGCTAGCGTCCTAAAATTGTCGCGATTAATTTTTTACTAGAGTAAAAGATTAGCTCTTCCAAGCTTGACTTAAACTTACAACCGACTTGAATATGCCTGTCACCCGGCATAAGTATTAAAAATACAACAAACTTTATGATATAATTCGCTAGGCAAACACAGACCAAATCAAGAAATACGATTTGCGCAAAATGACCTCTAATGAAAATTCCGTAAAAATATTGAGCTTCTAAACTTGATCTCCAGTGGAAACCATTTGGTAAACAACAGAAGTCATTCCAAATTCTGGTAGTTAAGAGGGATACTGACGTTATGAGAACTTTTCGCAGCTTCGTTGCTAACCAAACCGAACGCAATTGGTGGATGAAATGAAAACACAATGTTCTCAATTTAGAACAAACAGGTGTAATAGTCTTATGCTGTAAATAATGCATAATCAAAGGCTAAATGACACCTCAACTTTTTCTGCATCTCTATTTTCATATAAATTTCAGCTGAAGTAGCTGTTAAAATTTGGTTCGGAAGAATACGTTACAGTTTCTTCCACTAAAGGTCGAAAATAAACTTTTCCGCAGTTAGCTTTTCAAGTTGAATCTTTGCACAGCTTTTGCGCTCACTCAAAAATTAAATATGCGAATCACGTGGGGATGATCTTGAGACTTCCATTCTGACAGTACTTCGCGGAAGACTATGGTTTTCAAAAGCAAAATGAAAAACAATTGCCTCTTCCGCCTTCGGCCAACAACAAAGTTCAAGTTCAGAATTTCTAACGAGATCGCTATCATTGAACTTTACATAGTCATTTCACTTGCAATACTAGAACTCGCAATCAAACTGCGAGGCAGACTGGCCGAAAAATGCTAGACGGTGTTCAGAATCAGCCCTCTATTTTCTCTTGGCTTATTGAATGAAAAGAAAACAGTTTCGTTAAGAAAAGATCTCATTTTTCAAAGGGCATTTCCATCTACAAAAGCGTCACACTTCCCGTTTTCAACGCAAACAGGAAGCAGAAGTCGGCGGGCATGCCAACTTGACTCGGCTCCTATTTAAAACACGATCAATAGCTTACTTAGGTAACAGATCAAAAGCTGTCATTTTGAAGGCTGCGTTAGTGAGAGGAAGTAATACAGCAGAACATGACAGTACTCATCTTATGGCATTAGTCGCCGTTAAATGATGAACTTCGGGAACGCGCGGAACTGTCTCGGGGAGTAAAAAAGCGGGGGAAAAGACGGGGGGGTACCCATGATTTTGTGATGGGGGGGTTCGATTTTTTACTCAGAAAGTACAGATTCTTTACACTATAGCCTAATCAAGCTAAGAAATCTATCAAGAGAAGTTTTGAATACTGTCGTTGCAGGAATTTTGGTGTCTGATGAGAAATAAAAACTCCACGGGGGGGGAGTGGGGTGTTCTAATTAGCCGACTAGGCTGCGTCAGTTGTGATTGGTCGAATCTTAAGAAGTAAGAGCCCCAGGAGGAGACCAATCTTAAAATAAGTTGATCACGTAATAAATATTTCTCCTTAATCAAAGTTTCATAGTTAAGATTCGATCCGAGCGTAAAGAGGTTAGAAGTATACTTCTTGCTCGTATTTATTGTGAAAAAAATCTCCCGTTAGAGCCTTAAAAATTGGAAATAATACTACAAAGGAACTATTATAATCACCAATGAATGTTAACTCCGAACCGTGGAAAACTACATAATATAGTACACCCAAAACCATCAGGAATATCATGGTATAAAATAATATTTGGAACAGGGTGAAACTTCAGTAAATTACCAGTTGTCTCGCAGATCAGGGTGCACCTTTTGGTAAGTATGTCAACAAGCAAGCTAACCATACTGAACAACTTCCAGTGCTTTGATCAATTATAAGTTTTATCAACTGAATTGATAAATTAAATCGGCCTCATTGAGACTGTCGAAAGCTACTTTGACTTAAAGGTCAAACTTAGATCTCAAAGGGAACCTACAATACCTCCCTTTCCAAAAATGTAATCATTTATTTAAAGATGTAGGTAGTCACTGTTATTCATTAAGATGAAGAGCTACACAATTTTTTTTTGCAATATTAACTCTATCTTCAATCACACAATAGTCATGTTCTCATCACTTTTTCTTTGCCATTACATTTTGGCATTATCCTTAAACAACTGAGCCAATTTTGCAGTGAGCATGATGTTTCCTTTCACTTTCAACTTCCCCTTCATAAACAACTGTTGAGGGTTTGACTTTCCCGTCGCCATGGAGGAAAGGTCGTCATCTTCCACAGTTATACTACAGTCTGGCTTGCCTTGCTTGTAAGGACCCACTGTCACAGACCCAGATCCACTCTTAAGGTCCACAGTCCACTGACCAGCAGTCTTCCCCCCTTTTGTCACGTTCCATTCAAAGACACCTTTGACCTTCTTGACAAGTTCTGGGTGGTCTGAGACTCGTTTGCTGATCTCATTAAACAGAGCTTCACTCTTAAGGCCTGATTTGCTTGGGTGGGACACCAATGCATTTATGTCCTGTAGAGATTGAAAAATATGTAGATCCTTAAAATGTAACTTCTCCCAACAATATCGATACACTAACCAGAAAACAGGTATTGAGAATGCTCAAACTTATCAGGTAGATGTTGTTATCTTGATCTAACACCAAATTCTTACAACTGACTGACAAGGAAATGTGTAAAAGCTAGAGGGGAGAATCAACAATCAGATCTTGGGAGTTAAAGGGTTGAACTGACACTTGCCCATATAGTCCTCTCATAATTATGGCACACTAATTTTTTAGTCAGGTGACATGAATACCAAAATTAAACACTATGATCCACTAATTAAGTGTGATTCTATGCTGCTGGAAGTCTATAAAAGCATACATGTCTATGTAGCACTGTTTATTGTCAAATTCTTCCTTGTCGATTTTCTCTCAAGCCACTCACAACCAAATTTCTTAGCATAAATATTCTTTAGGCACAGAAGTTCTAGACTGGAGCACGTTACTCACTGGCACTTTCTTTACAGCAACATCGACATCCTTCAAGTCAATATATGCCCCTGACAGCACCACATTACCATTTTCAACCACTTTGCACTGAAATGAAATCCTGTTGCCATCGCGCCACATGTCAGTCTGCAGTGTCTGACCAGGGAAAACAGGTTTAGAAAACCTTGCTTTAATGGCCTTGAATTTGCTAACATCATTGTTTGCATACTGCTTCAGCACATGACGAGCAGCGTGACCAAATGTACTAAGACCGTGAAGGATAGGGCGGGAAAAACCTGTGAACGTCACAAACAATTGATGAATTTTCAATATGCAATGTAAGAAATGGTAAATATTGATGTTCAAGAGATCAAACCCAAACAATCCTTCAAGTCCAAGACCCCTGTAAATTCTACACAGGGAGGTTGAGCATTTGAATAAAAGTCTGAATCTTAGAATCCCAAGAAGTTTGAGTGTTGTTAATTTTTGAAACTTAGCCTAACTGTTCCCTGCCCAGTGATACTGTTTGGGCAAGGACTGTCAGGGGTAAAGCCATTTATCAGTGGTCTACCACTGCTTATAAGACCTCTTACTGCCATCTGTTTAGCCTGCAAGCAGGAACTTGTGTTTGGATTTCATCTTATGCCCCTTTTCCACACACTACTTCTACACCATTAGCAGCTTATGGAAAAAGTTATTGAAACCTTTAAGTTGCTCTCAGGGGCAATACATGTTGCTAGTGAGGAATTTTTCATTAGCTTGACAATTGATTTTTTTTTTAAGAACTGCATATTCAATGTGGAAGAAACATAAAATAAAGAAAACTTTCACTCCACCTCCTAACTGGGCAAAATCTGGATCAATATGTATTGGATTTAGATCACCACTCAACCGATAAATTGCTGCTACAGAAATGTCAGTCTTCTCCCTGACACTGGCATCAGGTGCACGGGCTGGCATTGTAACGAGAGGCTTGGAATGCTCTGAGCGCTTTTTTCCTCCAAACCCCCCAGCACCACCAATATAGATGGAGAATTGATTGAAACACACTGCTTCACCACTGCTGTCATAACTAGTGATGTTCACCAGCACTATGGCTCCTTTCCCTTTGTCAAGGATGTCAGCAACCTCTCCTTTGCTTGTCAAGGTTCCTGAAGTAGGCAAGGGTTTATAAAGTTCCAGATACTGTTCCCCATGGAGGAGCTATAAGAGAACAAGGGTGATAAAATGAATTAAAGATTTAACTCTAGATTGAGTTTTTAGTGACAACGTGTTAAAGCATGGGGATTAATGTTAACCCTTTAACTCCCATGAGTGACCAAGAGAGAATTTCTCCTACAATATCCATACAGTTTCAAGCAGACAAGTGATAAGAATAAAGAGAAATATCAAATAGGGGATTATCAGTTGATCCAGTAACAAAGTCTCAGAACTAAAATCATAAGAATTGTACAGCAGTCAGTAAGGAGAATTACTAATAAGATCTTGGGAGTGAAAAGGTTAAAAATAGATGAGCCTAGAACTGAAGGGGGTTACAAAATGGTGAAAAGAAAGGGAGTTTATTACCAGGACAGGGCGTGTCATTGGAAAGTCATAGATCATTTATTTTACTCAGTTTACCTTTGCTGGATTAAAAGGAAGTCCAGCTTGCTCCACTGCTCTCACAATAACAGTATTCATTGCTGACTGCCAAGGAAAAACAAAAAAATAAAATAAACTGTTTTCTTATAAAGATAATAAAATTCTTCTTAACCAAGCAGAAGGCATAGTAATGCAAAACCAGTGCAATCTTAGATTACTTTGCTCTCAAAAATTGAAAATTGCTCTTCAATGATTTGACACACCTGAGCTGGAATTACTCCAAAGGTAGGTAAGGTGCAAAAGTCATCACATCCCTCATAAAGAAACTTAAGGTGAGATGAGTCTTCCTGCACAGTGACCCCAACCCCAAGTGCATACAGGATCACATCCTTGGCTTCAAAAGTACACTGTGACTCTCGAATTTCCAGTGTTTTGCTTGAAGCTTTTCCACTTTCTGGTACTGTTGTGTTAGCTTCTTGGATTATTGGGATCAGATCAGTCATGGCATCACCCCTTAACTTTGGCTTCACAGGACCAGACCAGTCAGTGATCTTACCCCAGTTGTCTCTCACCATCTCTGGTGTCACAGTAACACCACCTTTTCTTAGCATTGCCCCTGAACTCTCCTGCCACCTTAACTGTGCCCCCCAACCTGAAGCCATCTCAAAGACACCACCACTCTCTGGACAGCTCTCATGGCAAAGATACACAACAAAAGGAGCAACATACTCTGGTTTAAGGGCGTCAAAGACATCAGGGGGCAGTATTCCCTTAGTCAACCTTGATCCAGCAGTTGGAACAATAGTATTACAGACCACATTATACTTTTCTCCTTCAATGGCCAATGTGTTAGTTAGACCAATAAGACCCATTTTAGCTGCGCTGTAGTTCGCTTGACCAAAATTCCCTAACACACCAGAGGTTGAGGAAGTCATAATGATCTTACCATACTTCTGTTTTCGCATATGAGGCCAAGCTGCTCGGGTCACTTTGAACGATCCTCGGAGGTGAACACGGTGGACGAGATCCCAATCGACATCACTTATGCGACCGAACGATCGATCTCTAAGAATCCCAGCGTTGTTGATGAGGACATCAATCCGACCAAATGCATCTAATGCCGTTTGTATAACTTTTTCGCCGTCTTCCACGGAGTTGTAATCAGCTACCGCTTTTCCTCCACTAGAGCGGATCTCTTCAACAACCTTGTCGGCCGCTGCACTGCTTTTTCCTCCGCCCTTTGCGTCTCCACCAAGATCATTGACAACAACCGAGGCGCCTCTGGAAGCGAAGGCGAGTGCATACTCCTTCCCGAGCCCTCCTCCTGCCCCTGTTACAAGAACTACACGGCCATCGAATCTCAACTCGTCTGCCATTTTGAACCTTCAGAACAAAGATAGGACCTGATTGGAACACAAATTTGGCAGGGGGGTACAGAGAGCTAGTGACATACCCTAAAATTTTTTTTTACCCAAAAATTGATCAATTAAGAGAAAAAAAAATACTTGTCTCGTACATAGTGCTTAGTTATTTTCTGCTCACCTTTCTTGAGCGAAAAACGGAGAAGAAGTTCCATCCTATATGGACAAGTCATTCCCTGAGCTCCCCACCCTTACAGTCTTCTGTATTTCGTGAAGCCTGACATGACATGACCTCCAGCAACACCCCTAAAATGACACCTCATAATAAAAATAAGGATAGGATGACAGAGGTGAAAGAAATTCCAATTATACATTTAGATTAACAGTACCCTGCTTTTTACTTGGCGCTTATTAGGAAGTTAAAAAATTTAGTATTTAATCCATGAAATGCCGTCTTCTATGATATATTGGCCTAAATATCCCAAAATGAGTGACAGCCAGGTCCGTGAGAACTTACCCCTCCCTACTACGTATATAATTCTGTCTATTGTGTTCCCCTTGGGTGACCTTCTGGTTGTACGGCCATCTTGAGATCGAACAACCTGTTACCTCAAAAATAAGACATTGCACAAAGTCACGATAATTCAGAGAAGGGAGTCTGTTCCAATCGTGCAGAACGGAATTATTTTACATCAGAGTGCATCAAGATCTCGTTTAAATGTCAGAGTTCTCGATGAAACCTGTTTCGCACAGCGAAAACAAAGATGAGGTCGTAGGACACTTTCCTCCAGGACCGTTGGATAGTTATCGAGAGCACGCTTCCTTCGACTGGTTTCAGATGAAAGTGTTTTTAGATGGGGGAGAAGATGTAGTCAGATTCCAGCACAATATGTGGAAAACTATGGAGAAAGACTCGTTATTTGACCGTGTCAACGATTGGAAATTGAGTATGGACGAACGCAGGCGTGTAACAATGAAACGATGTAAGAGAATTGCGGAGTACAATTTTTTGACAGACGATGATATTATGGCAGCACCACTCTTGGTTCAGGCATTTGGTGACGCCTTAGGAATATACGACTGGAGTTTATCAACAAAATTCACTTTAAACACTACGGTAAGACGTGCTTTCTGAAAGTACATGTCCTGCACAAACATTTTCTTAAAGGGTATATATATTACATAAGAGTTCTTCCCCCACAAACTTCACAACATTTGCTTTAGTTAAGAATGTCAACCGCATCTCCCTGTAAGTAAAGTAGCATATTACATCTTTCCACCTCCCTACAAAGAATTTCAATGTAATGAAACAACGTTTATTTTCTCAATGCAGATGTTTGCTCGTCAAGTTAGAACATCAAGCACACACGAACACATCCAAGAGCTTGCAGATAAAGCTATGAGGTTTGAAGTATGTAAAAAAATCTTTCTAAGTATTTTGAATTAAATAAGTGTAAGTCAGAGAAGGTTGGCATGACATAGGATGTTATTGCTCTCACATTTTTTTCATAATGTTATGCTGATTATATCTGATTCTTGAGTTGGTCTTTAAAATGACCTATGTTACATCAGAATAACAATAACAATAATCGATGCAGTCATAATAGTGGAGCTTGCAGAACGTAGCCCCATAATTATACAAAACAGTAGTAACCCCTCAAGCCAAAACTGCAGGCACACCAATGCCACGGCTTTGTTCAGTAGTCCAGTGGTCAGTGTACTGGGCTCCAAGTTGGACGACCGAGGTTCTAGTCCTGGCTGGGGCAAGGCGTTGTGCCCTTGAGATGTGCGAGAAAAAAAAGTGCGAGTTCCGCTTTTAGGCTTGGCTAAATCTATATATTATACATGGGTGCATAATTAACAAATTGATTTCATTTTGCTGTTTGTCTGTTCAGTAGTAGCTTACAGACAACATCAAAATGTGGTAAGAACAAAAAAAGTGCTACACGAGATGCAGCAAAGTGGAGTCTATTTGTTTCATTTGATAAGCTTTTTTTTTTAGTGGTGACGTCATCTTTGCATCTATCCTCCAATAGGTGATAAGTAAGAACTGATCAAAATATGTGTATTATTCAACTTATCCTGTGGTATACATTGGTTAATACGGTGATAGTAACTGACTTTGTTTACATTCCTCCTGTGTTCACAGGTCTTCGGTTGTTTTGCTCTGACTGAGTTAACACATGGAAGCAATACTAAGGGTGTTCAAACCACAGCTACTTATGATCCATCATCACAGGTTAGCCTCCTCAGTAAACAAATATTATTCCTAAACTCAGTAGCAGGAGGTAAATGTCCTCAATACTGCACCACTTGTGCTTCCAACAAAGAATCCATTTCACAAATTTGTCTCTAGTTGTTACACTGTGACAAACCGATATCTATGTGGAAACCTGGCATCACATGTGGATTGAGTTTGTTGTTTACTTTGCTTCAGTCCTTTCTAAAGGATTTTCTCTGCATTCTCCAGTTTTCCTGACTCTGCAAAAACCAATACCCTAAAGTCCAACTTGACCAACAAAAAGTAGATGATAATGCTAAATATTGTGGAGTATTTTATAATTATCAAGGCTCCAAGCTCAACCCTTTACAAAGTCACCATTTGGTGACCTAAAAATATTAGTGGTCAACAGAGATAAAATTTCAGTCACCTGTGAAAGACTTAACCTTTTGACCCCTGAAAGTGACTGGCATCCAATCCTTCCTCACAATATCACCCCCAAATCACACATTAAGAACATGAGAATAAAGGAAATGACCATAAGAAGCTTAAGCTAAAGAACAAAACAGTGCAGAGAATATGCATGCAGATGTTGGGGTCGAAAGAGTTAAAAGGAGATTTTGTGCAGTTAGTAGTAATGTGATATTTTACGCAAATGTTTACCTTAGATTTCAACTATATGCCACAAACACCAAATTATAAAAAGTTGGAGCTCACAACATGACAGCCAAACACAATTTTGCAAAATTGGTGACTCTTGTGACAAATTTAGTCCCTCAAATGTTTTTCCTCCCTCTGGCAACCACAACAGTTGCAGCTTGGAGCACTTCTTTTTTAATATTTTCATATTAACTTAATGTGGTGCCATTCTTCTTTTTTCACATGTAGGAGTTTGTGATCCATACACCCAACTATGAAGCTACAAAGTGTTGGGTGGGCAACTTGGGTAGAACTGCAACCCATGCCATAGTCTATGCACAGCTTTACACCCCTGATGGAGTCTGCCACGGACTCCACTCATTTGTCATTCAAGTACGAAACACCACAGATCTCTTACCCATGCCTGGGGTGACTGTAGGAGATCTTGGAGAGAAACTGGGTCAAAATGGACTAGATAATGGGTAAGTTAACCCTTAACTCTCACAAGTGATTAACATGTAACTTATCTCCCTATTATCCATACAATATCCAGCAAACGGTCATGACATTTTTCAAACTTATTTGGTAGAAAGTGTTATCTTGATCTAGTGCAAGATTCTTTAACTAATTAACAAAGAATTGTGTAGCAGCTCAAGGAAAGAAATAAAGGAAAGAAATAATAATCAGATCTTGGGAGTTAAAGGGTTGACAAGATCAGACCTCCATGACCTCTATGATGGTCATGCCAAAGTTGATAATTGCAGGCTGGTAACCTGCACCATCAGGGCATGCCTTCTTGTTCAAGAGGAGAGGGTCGGCATCATTGATGGCATTTTGAAAGGGTAGGCCAAATCAAGTGTCTTATGAAGGAAGAGGTGGGGAGGGAGGGGGCTAGATCAGGTACAAGACCAAAAATACCCAGGAGTTGGAATCTCTGTTCATTACTTGAATCGACCAATGTCAGAATAACTGATGTTAACATGCTTGTTTGATTTTAGGTTTGTGTCTTTTAACCATGTTCATATTCCACGGGAACACTTGCTGAACAGAACAGCTGATGTGACACCTGCAGGGAAGTATGTTACACCATTTAAAGACCCAAACAAAAGATTTGGTGCTGCACTGGGTGCCTTGTCTGGTGGGCGAGTTGGGATAACAAGTATGGCTGTGATCAACTTGCGGCTGTGTATGTCTATTGCTATTAGGTAGGAGTATGCAGTTATCTGTCTAGTAATGCTTAGATCAACTAGATGTTAAAAAATCAAAGGTCTGAACATTATTTTAAAAGATATAATATGATGATATTGAGTTGTTCTTACTGGGCATCTCCAGCCAGTACTTACTCAGAATGTTGCAAATTAATTTAGCCTGAAATATGATCTACATGAAGCTCATTTTTCAGGGTTGGGGTAGGCCCTTAAATAATTATGCCTGTACTTGTGGTATGTGATACAAAACCAAGGCAGATGTAGTGATTTACAGTTTGGTGAAACTTATATCCTTCCAATTCTACCCCAGGTACTCTGCTGTTAGAAAACAGTTTGGCCCACCTGGAAAGGATGAAATTCCTGTGTTAGAATATCAAATGCAGGTTAGCGAAGGACTATTAGAGTATTTTCTGTCAGAAGATCACTTACTAAAAGTTTAGGTACTGTCTGATAGCTGACTAAACTTTGTGCAAAAATTTACAAAGTTCAGTTTTATGATTATGCAGAATGCAATTTGTAAAAAACGGTTTGCAGACTAGCAATGCAATCATGCTGTTCGGAAATTATAGCATACCTGATACCCTTAATCTACTCCATTTTTCATCATTCCCCCCCTCCCCCTTCACTCCTCAACCCAGGCTACAATTTTTGGTATTACTGGTAGTTACATTTCATAAAACACAAAAACCCTCTTCCGCTAAATGAAGTCTAACTTTTACTTCTTCCCAGCAATGGAGACTGATTCCCAAGTTAGCAGCAACATATGCTTTAGCTTATTTTGCAAGGACCTTCTTTATGAATTTTGTTGAGCTACAAGTTGGTATGATGATGGGAGAATCAGGTGAAACACAAGTAAGTTAATATGAATTAAATTAGCTAATAAACACCAAATGATTTGAAAAGAGAGGCCAAAAAAAATTCATCAACAGTCTTAAAAGTAAATTAATTCCTTATCAAAGCCAAAATTGCAACTACTACAATCCTTTCTTGACATGTCCTTTGACAAACTCACAATCCACAGAACTGTACATGAAAATACCTAAGAGAGTAAGTTTCAAAAGAAACTGTGGTGCTGCATTGGAGTTAATTTCATTGATTTTATCAACTGAGTTGATGATGCAAATTGGCCACCATATTGAGTTTCTTAAGTAGAGGTTTTTAATATTAGCCTGCTGCCTTAAAATTATGTGGTTTAATCTTTTGCAACCCGAAACATAATTTTAATTCTCAATATTAATTTCTGAGGGAAAATTTGCTAATAATGTTGTATAAAACTTAAATTACAATTTCTTTGAGCATATCACATGAAATGGTTGGAATAGGTTTGGGTAAATACTCCACAGAATTGTGAATAACATTCTCTTAGCTTATCACCCAATATAATTTTGACATATATGTTTCAGGCTGCTTTAGGACGTGAGATCCATGCCTTGTCATCTGCTAGCAAACCTCTGGCCAGTTGGATTGCACAAAGTACTATTCAGGAATGTCGTGAGGCCTGTGGTGGCCATGGTTACCTTGCAAGTGAGTTATCTAAGTGACATGATTTCCATCTAAATATGATCTCCAAGGCTGTCACTAAGTTTTGAAGCTGCTGTTGCATTGGGCATACTTTCCCTGGTGGTGTAATATGTACCCAAATGTTACATGACAGCGTTAACATCTCCACCTGTAACATTCTGTTAGCTAAGTGGTAATGGATGTTACAGGTTAAGGCCCTCACTCACAGCCCTAATATCAAGCTGACTCCCTAACACACACAAACAGTAGGGCCAGTGGTTAGAGCGATGAACTTGTAATTCGTTGGTCTCAGGGTTCAAGCCCTTTACCCCACTTACCTTACTGGATTTGTTCTCTGTTACCTAAGTTCAACTTTCTGGCTGCACCTTGCATGTGGCCAACTGGTCTGCCTCCGGCCAGTAGGGATTTTTAAACTCTACGTAGTCTATATAATTTGTACGTTGTTGATATACAATTTGTTCATATTGGCCCTAAATAGCCCCATTGGGGGAGTGGTCAATTAAATGTTATAATTACCATAATTATAGGGAAGGCATCTCTGATAAGGTTAGGCTTTGTCCATAACTCTAGGTTGTACAAGCTGGACAATTTTAAATGCTACGAAATCTTGGATAGTTTGAGTCATTCATGCACAGAGAGGTTTGACTAGCCGTGTCTTTACAATTCTAAAAACAAGAATGACATTGCTATACTCCTGAGAGAAAAGTTTGCCATTTGGTGCACTACTTGTGAATTAGTTGTTTTTGCATATCAGTTATTTTCTTTCAGTCAACAGGTTAGGTGAATTAAGAAATGATAATGACCCCAACTGCACTTATGAAGGAGATAATAACATGCTTCTGTGGCAGACAAGTAGTTATCTCTTATCCCAGCTGGATGCTAAACAGAAAGGTAAACTGCAGTGAAATTTTCTTGAGTTATATCTCAACCTTTGAACTCCTATGAGTGACCAAGAAAGAATTGTGTAAGAATGTGATAAGGATGTAAAACTGAAAAAGATTAAATTTGGAACACAGGTGAAACAAAACCTCACAATACACATTGCTTTTATCCACAGGTTCCCATATTTCCAGTCCCCTTCACACAGCTGACTTCATAAATGACATTGAACAAATTATGACACATAAATTCCATGCAAGCACTGAGCAAGAATGTAGAAACCCTGATTGTAAGTAATGGTCTTAGTAATATTAGATTCTGTTATGCTTGGATTTTGGGGGAGAGAGGTTAATGACATGTAGTGTAGAATAACCCCTTTGGTAGATTGAGTGACTTAATAATGTTCTTAACCTTTTCACTGCTAAGAGTGATTAGAGCATCTAATTTCTCCCTTACAACATCACTCCTGAATCACACATTAAGGTCACAAGAATAAAGGAAATGATCACCAACTAAAGAAGCTGTTGATCATTAAACAAATTCTCTTGTTCAGCACCTTGGGTAATGTATATAGAACAGTATGGAGAATATTGATCACATTATTCAAATGATTTATTCCTGATTAGTTCTTGTTGGAGCATACCAATGGCTTGTTTGTTACCTACTAAAAGAGAGTGCCCAGAAGTTTAAGCAAGAGCTTACAAGTGGAAAGGTACCTCATTTGATGATTATGTTCGATTCTGCTGTTCCATTCTCAAGGTCTTTTTCTTTTGTTCTGCTTGTATGTTTGCTTTTTTCCAGCAAGGATAAGACTCCAACTTATTCATTTGCAATAATTTTCAATTAAGCCTTATAAGCTCATCAGAAACATGAAGTTAACAATCTCTTTGTCTTTGTTTCATCAAAGGACTCCTTTGCAGCTAAGAATGACAGCCAAGTATTTTACTGTAGGTCATTGGCACTTGCTTTCATTGAGGTAAGGTTTGTCTTCTGTCACATTTTACTATTTGTTAAACTTTTACACCCAAACATCATTATATATATTCTCCATACTGTTCTCTATACATTTCCTAAGGTGCTGACACAGAGAATTTCTTCAAAAATCAAAAGCTCTATTAGTTGGTGATCATTTCCTTTATTCTCATGACTTTGATGTGTGATTCAAGGGTGATATTGTAAGGAGAAATTAGACACCAGTCACTCTTAGAGGTTTAAGGGTTAAGTAACTTATTATTCATTGTCAGCTTATACAATTTTAAAAGTTTTTAAATTGGGGGATGGGAATCTCAAGCAGTTGAGTTCTTATATTATAAGGTTATTTTGGATAATTGTGAACAGTATCCCACTGGTATGAAAACCTTGGATTATGGTGCCTCTTATGGTGTTCACCACAAACACTTTTATCCTTATTGGTAACAATGACTAGCCAACTAATTACTTTTTATTTCAGTGTACAATTTTGAAGAGATTCAAGGAAGCAATTTTCAATGAGGATGAAATTCCACAAGCTCTTAAACCAGTTCTTCTCAGACTTTGTTCACTATATGGCTTGTCCTCTTTAGAGACACATCTCACTACTCTATACCAAGGTGAGGCTACCATAAAGAAAGCTAGGCTGCTGACTCTTTGTGCAAAGTTTTGTACTGTATAGTGATACTGCACTTAAGGGAACTTTTCTCCAGGATGTTGAAACTCTATTGAAAAGGGCTCTGAAGTGGAAATAAGGTATTCTTTGTTTATTTACTGTAGGTGGCTTTTGTTGCTCAGTGAATGATGCCAGAATTGTGAGAGCAGCCATACTTACTCTTTGTTGTGAGGTAAGCTATTTGCTTTTGTCAGCCTTCCCTGAAATGTGGCGGCAAACATTTTCCACATTATTCATTATATGTATGTCATGCCTAAATGGGGGTATCCTTAAAGCACAATGAGGCAAGGGAGAGTTTTGTAAAGGAATTGAGACTCTCTCCCTTCCATATTAGTATCTAAGATTTTTTAAAACTTGAGTCAAAAGGGTTTTCAAGCCTTGATCCAAGTCCAGAACCACTCATGATCCAGTGAACAAAGTTTGATACATGCAGTAAGATGTTAGATGTTTCCGTTTGCTTGGAAAAATGGTGAGAATTTTTTTCCATCCCTTTACAGAGAAGTGACTCTTGTTGTAGGAGACTTTGTTCCACAGCTTATAACCAGCATTAACTTCATTGTACACCGTGCATGTATCATAGTGTAAGTGGAATGAAACAAATGTTGCAATAGGATTTTGGGATAATTCAGGTATTTTTGTGTTTGTACTCAGTTGAAGAACGAAGCTGTAGCCCTGGTGGATGCCTTAGCCCCACCAGATTTTATTCTTAACTCACCCATTGGTCACAGTAATGGAAAGGTAGGTCATTTTGATCTTGACTAATTTTTATTTATTTACTTAAATACCACTCTTAGCAAAAGTGAGATAGTTGTGAAATTTAGTTGGAACTTCGGCCTACGAAAAGCGTCAGACCGTCTGGTCCGAGTTATTTTTACACCATTTGAAACTAGTGATTCACTCTCTCTTCCCCAGGCTCATGAAAACTTGCATGCTGCGATTATGCAAAAACCAGAGAACAAGGAACGAATTTCATGGTGGAAGGAGTGTCGTCAACTTCCCATTATCAGAGATCGTAGCAAGTTATGATAGAAAACGCCGCCGGAAACATTTCTCACGGATGGTCTCTCCTCTTGATAAGAGAAAGTCAATGTCTAGTTAACGTGTTTTGTAGGAAGGAGTTTCAAGTTGAGGATTTTTAGGTGGTTTTATGCTTGCAGTTAATCACTTCAATGGGGTGACTTAAGGAGCCTCCTTATGTAACGCCCTGATTTCCTTTCAGTTAAACGTGACGTTCACGTCGTTTTCACTCCTCAAAATTTAAACCGAGGAAAAGAAAGTTTCAGAGAAACTTATCAGAGATTAAATTGAAAGTGACTTAACTACTAAAATGCTCCTTCGGGTTGATACATTTGTATGTTATTCAATAGGTTATCAAAATGTTGAGTCGCCCTGTGTAAAAAACGATTCAACTGGTGCTGAAAACACTGCAAAAATGTTTCATGGTATACTATCGTAGGGTATGTTTTAAATTTTTTTCCTTAAACCTTCGAAAAGGTCGTTTAAGATTAGTGTGGTCGCTTGACTTTCTAATGAGGTTTGTGAGCTGGTCAATGCCCTTTAGACTTTATCTTCATGAACTTAACATATGTAATCTTTTTTTGGTACCCTCAAAACCCTTCAAATCTGATGATCTGATTTGTATTTCTCCTTTCTGGCTGCCATTCATTTTCTTGTTAATTATTTAGGAGAAAATGTCAGTTTTTCAAGGGGAAATGAAATGTTGATCACTTCTGCGATACAAAGGGTCTAATAGTAATTGCAAGCTAGTTAAAAGTTTTGCTGCGTATGAAAATAATTTGGGTTAAAACCCTTTAAAGCCTCCGTTCATGTCTGTTGAACGCCCTAAGTAAATTTACCAAATCGGAAGATTATTTATAAACTAGATTTGATAACGTTTTCCATATATAGTTTATTTATGTACCTTACTGAACTTTTCACGGACTACAAGGGTACACACGATTAAAGAAATGAGTCAGGAATCAAATCACTTCTTTCCGAGTGTTGGACGTATTTATGACTGGATAAGAAAGAGGTAAAATACTTGCTTTGACATGCAATCATAAAAAAGTCGAACAAACTTATCAACCCTTTTTACCCTAACGTCAGTATGTACATTCTCCCTACTTCTTTTCTTACATTTCATAACGTGCTGACAAGGAGAGTTTATAAAACAATCAAGAGCTTTTTTAAGTTGGTGATCATTTCCTTATTCTCCTGACCTTAATGTGTAATTTAGGGGTGATATTGTAAGGAGAAATTAACTGCTAGTCATTCCGAGGGGTCAAAGGGTCATGACAGATGACAACCTGCACCAGAAGCCTAAGGTGTGGTGTAGTGGAAGTGTACCTAGTGAGTAACGACCAGCCATGGGGGCTACGCCCTATACAAAGAGGGAAGGCTACACAGACTAACAAGCTTTCCAAAAGTTCGGACTTCAAATAGGGCTTTTTTAAGGGCATTATCCTTACTCTTCTTCACCCTTGGAAGGCCTCGTTCATGGCAAATGAAAGGGCAGTTCCACTTGCAAACGAACTTGACGAAGCGCAGGAAAACGCAAGTGACCAGGTTACGATTGGTTTAAAACGTTTAAACCCTAGCATACCTTACCGTATACATTTCCCAAGTTGCTAACAAGGAGAATGTCTTTAGCAATCAAGAATTTCTCTAGTTGATGATCATTTCCTTTGTTCTGGTGACCCTTGTAATTCAGGGGCGATAATTTAAGGAGAAATTAGTTGCCAGTCACTCTTAAGGGTCAAACGATTAAAAAGGATGGCGCGGCTAAAATGCAAAGTAAAGCTACACCAGTGACAAATATATCAATCATTAAGAATGCGTTAAATTCTGTATTTTATTGCTACGTCCTTGTTGGACAGAGTTATTTTCTCGCACAGCAGTACGCAAACATTGTTTTAATTATTAAATATCTATGATCAATAACATCAATCTAAGGAAGCATTAGGACAAGAGTAATATAAAAGAAGATGTGCAATGAACTTTCTCAAACAGTTGTCACAATGAAAAGTTAACCCCAAGGATTGACGTGTAATTCGCCCTTTGACTTTGAATAAAACAATTACTGTTGATGAGAAGAATTCATACTTGGATCTTGAAATCTTACTGAAAATACTTTACGGCCGTTCGTATGACGTTATGGTCAGATACAGTTCAACGTTAGAGTGAAGCATAGCGCCTGAAAACAAGATTTATAGGGAGTATTGACAATCACGAATGCTTTGTCGCTTCCACGAAGATGCACTGCAAAATCGGAGAAAGCTTTGTTCATGAAGGGTTTTCAAAAGTTTTATAGAAAAAACCTTACTGGCATTAACATTTGCTTACTTCAATAGAGCGAACGGCTTTCTTATAACCTAAACCACAATTGTTATCGAAAGTGTTTCTGCCCTACGTAAGGCAACATGCGAACTGGACACCTGTAAAAGTGCTTTCCAATACTCGCGCGTGTTTTATCATAAACAGGCTACACAACGTTTCTGTTAAATGATAACGATCTCAAGTGATTCCTAAAACGAGGACTCAAAACTGTAGTGTCCTTTGTTCGCTGCTGGTCTCGACTCAAAGCAAGTAATCATTTAAAAAAACACACACGCCCACGAAGTTCAAATCTCTATATACAGCGGATCTATTTTTGCGGACGCAAGCGTAAATCTTGGTTTGAATATGATAGTTCAGTCTTCTTAAAAATTTTTATCACCATTTCGCATACAAACAAAGAAAAAACAGATTTTGGAGAGACAGATCATTATGGTATAATATAATATATGTTCCACTATTCTAGTCTAAAAGGAAACACTATTTTCATTATCTAATCTACAGAAACAATTTGAGCAATGAGATATTGTAGTTTGTTTGTATTAAAAATGTGTCCACTTTCTTGAAGTAAGAATTTTTGCCATAAAATTGATCGTATGCAATGAAAATTTATAGACTTCTTTGATATTGATTTTTTTGTTATGAGTTATAAATCAGCAGAATATTTGCAGTCGATAGTCGCTTTGATAAACAAGCAGTCTTCTTTGACGTAACTCGTAGATTCCAAGCCTCGATGAGAAACGAATTGTGGGTAACCGAAGCCGAGTGTGGCACCATTCTTACCAGGTCTCTGAAAGCTCTTCCAGTTAGGATCCGGGCTAAACGATTGGCTAATATTTCTTTGGCCCCTGGTAGAGTCCCTGTTTTGATCCAAAAGCGACAAAGTGATTTCGCCCTCAAACGGCCACTTCAAGAGCGTGTCGTATTCTCCCGGGAGAAGACGGACATAGAGTGAAAGATGCGACCCTTCCCCGCTACCATTTCCGTACGGGAACACCACGATTTTGAACTTGTACCCATAAGGACTTGTGTAAAAAGGAGGGCTGTGCAACTCTACGTTTGTTTTGTGCTTGGCGTCCTCAAATTTGTTCCAAAAGTCGTCGATCCTCCAATAGAGTTTACTATCGGTGAAAGGCTTACAATGTTTGACAATTTCGCGCAATTGGTCAATTTCCTTTCTTTGATCAAGAGCAAGCTGTGAAACGAGCTCAAGATGTTTTTTCATGCCGTCTTCTAGATGCTGTGTGAGGCTTCGTTGTGGACACTGAAAGAAAAAAAACATATAAATTAGATATGTTTTTTTCCGTCTCTGTGAGGTTGGATTTCCCACCCGACACAAGACACACAATTGACAAAGGTATAAGAAGTTAGGTCGAGACAATCTGAGTGGATATCGAATGCGAATGAGTTCTTTAGTATCTCGAGAGATAAGTCAATACTTACTTGATGTTGACAGCCAACATGCTTAAAAGGACAATGAATGAGATTTGAGCGACATTCGTGGGTAAGATGGCGATCCACCTTGGATAAAACGGTGAACAATTGATTAGGATACTTCATAAAATTCACAGTGTTAAGAGACTTTTATTCCATAGTAAAATTAAGAAAGCAACAGGTCAACTAGTACATCATTAACCCTTGTTAATATCAATTCCTCTCTCTGTCGATCTTCAAAATATTTCTTATACTTGTAGTTCGGATAATCTAGTGTTAAATAAAAAAGTATCCCTTTTGATACATTTCTTTCTTCTCATCACATCCCTGGTTGATAATGTATTGATATCGTAAGGAGAGAGTACTTAATGGTCACCTCTGGGCGTGAGAGGGCTAGCCATTGCAACTGATTATGCATTTGAACTTCCATTTGAGGAACACTTAGAACTAGGACCCTGCACAGAGGGGTTCACAGATACAAAGGCTCTAGGAGCCTTTTTTCAGTTTGGGCCACATGTTGTGTCCCTTGAACCAAGGTGTCTCGAATTAGTGGGAAGTAAACAGCGTTGGGCTAAAACGTTACGTTGTCTTCTCTCGGAATGGATATAATAGGAACTGAGTGGTTCCTACAGGTACATGGAGTGGTTAGTCCGCAGTTCTCACCTCTTCTCGTGGAATCTGTGACACACCACAACTATTTGGGCAACTCAAGGGGAAGTGAGGACACACTTGAAGATGGCTCTGTTGGGAAAGACACAAGATAACCTTGATGTATCATAAACAGAAATTTCAACTAGCCAAACATAGATAAGTTGTTAGAATATTTAGCAACTGGTGGTTAAAAAAAGGCCAAAACATTGCTAGGACGACATCCTCGTTTAATTATGATCGTATAACAACTTTCCCATTACAGAGGATCAATCGGTGTTCCGCGTAAAAATCAGACTATGGGAGGAAATCTAGAACATGGATATCTGGCTGATTCTAGAAGGACCCTTGTCACATAAGAATTGAACTACTGTACAGTCTTCTAGATCACAATAGAGTTCTCTATAGCTCAGAGGTGGTGCATCAGACCACGAAATCCGAAAGACTGACGTTCGATTCCTCGAAGGGGTCTCGGAGATTAAAAGTCATAATTCACCATCGTACAGCAACAAAGACAACTATAACCAAAGGAAAGTTGACATATCACTTTTGGCGAGATGATATGATGAATATGTGTATGAATAATATCAAATAGGGCTACCTACCTGCATGTCTTCAAACTTGACTTGCGCACGACAATACTGACATTTGGTCAATCTCCTCGGACACTCCTCTGACATGTGACTCGTGATTTGACCACGTGATATTCTCTGACCACAAGTGCATGTAAAAATGTCAGATTCTCTTTCGATGTCGATTTGGCTCGTTGTGCGAGACCTGCTTCGTTCTGACCCACGGTAGACCACCTCGCTTGGGATCTCCTCGCGACCGACGTAATTGAGGAAAGCTGGAAACGAGGCAGAGCGCATGGGTGCAGGGGGACTGGAATTCAGGGCTTCTTGCGAGGTGCTGTTGCTTCGATTACCGCTGCGCAGGCCACGTGGATCGAAGCGCACTGAGTGAGGCATGCTCTGTCGTTTGCCTCCTCTTGTTATTCCTGGTTCTTCAGTTTGGGAATCAGAGCGTCGACAACGTCTTAAGTGTTCCTGAAATGAAAGTAAGTTGCTGTGTCAAAATAATCATGCTAAAATTTGCATACATATTTAGATAACGGCACACGGCTTTTTACAATTTTTCTGGAAAAGAAAACGCAAGCTACTTGAAGCGCGGGAAAATATGAGTGACCAAGTCGCTATAGATCATAGTTTTGTACCTGATTGGTTGAGAGAAGAGTGCGGCTTTTTTTTTTTGGACAAATCACAGACGAGAAGTAATACCAACCTGTTTGTCTTTGAAGACGATTTCTACAGAGCAGTTTTCGCAGTAGACCCATCGGTGTAAGCAATCATTTCTCAAGTGATGCGGCATTTCGTGTCGTTTTAGTCGGACCCCACATCCATTACTGCATGTCACTATCTCCTGGTCCGGGTTCCGACGGGCGGCAGGACAGTTATGGCTCTAAGGGAATAAGTGGTTTTAATACATTTGCACCCAAGGTCTTAAGGTTGAGTGGAGAGGGGGGGAGATCCATGGTTGGAGAGGAGGGGCGCCAGGGTTGCCCAGGAGGCTCTAAAGAGGGATAATGGAAAGAGGTATGAGAGATGAAGGCCGCTGCTGACAAGAAAAACTAATCGAACATAAAACATCTATTTTCCCACACATAGAGAAATGGCGAAATGCGCGCGCACCCCAAGGAACGCGGTTAGAAGCATGGAATTTATTAGATATGGTGGGCTCACCTTATCTACGGTATTGCTGAACAGCTACGAGACACAAAACTTACCTGTAGATTCTCAAACGTTGTTTCCTTTTTACAGCGGGGACACTTTACCCATCTCTTTATACAATCTTTTTTCACATGTTCGGTGATCTTCCTCCGCTGAATTTTCTGACCACAACCCGCAATGCAATCTACTTGCGCGTACTTGCAATTGGCCATGTGATCCTACATCACGACAGAAAATGGTAACGCAATCTTAACTAGTGTTGGTCTAAAGCTGATTCACCCGTCTTCGTAGCGAGAACAGTTACGTCACAAGTAGAAACTGCACCAAAATGTTGAATTAAAAAAAAAACAAAAGCGGTTTTAATTTAGGGAATATTACCTCAAGTTTCTTTAACTGTCCCTTCCACTTACAGCCAAGTTGATAGTGGTCACACACAACATTCAGTGAAAATATCATCTGATTCGTCACATCATCTGCGTAAATCTGTCACGCAATGGGCATAAATAGCAACAGTTAGATCATAGAAACGGAAATGTTCGTAACATAGGGTTCTTAAAATGCATTTTTATTACATGATGTGTTTCGAATAAAACTGTTGTTTAAGCCTACGTGACAAATACCTCATTGCAAAGCAACACGGGTGGTAACGCCTAAATGGTCAAGTCGTTACGAGGTCATGATCAATTTTCACTTTTTTTATCTATAGATGTTAGATCCGAATTTACTCCATTTAATCCCTCGCTTATGATAGGATAACAAAAAGCACAATAACTTTTGACTTGTACGCGACTGTATTTAAAGTGGGTGTCTCGTGTAAATTCTGCGCCGGCGGTTTCACGTCATCCCACAAATGTGCCTCCGGAGATAAATACCACAAAAGAATAAGGAAGCCGTGAAATGGCGTGGGAATAAAAACAGCATCCTTGAAATTTGTATAAAATTTGTCTTTATGATTATACTTAGTGGCGCTAACCTTTGAACTAAATTCCACATTTGCATTTCTCTTGTTTTCTGTATTTGCACCGAAATGTATTTAAACAGTTGGCGCGGCGGTAAAAGAGTTCTTTAAACACTGGAATTATCACTGGTGGAAATTCCGGCGTCTATTGTTGTTCGCAAATTCTGCGCTTTATGATCGTGTTTTCACCGCGTGAGTGTACTATTTTGGAACAAAAAAAAACACGCGCAATTGAAAAGCCCTTAGTGAAACAGACACAGTGTCTAGCTGTGAATGTTCCAACAGAGTTTTTCCTTTAAGTTTCTTATTGCTTTAAGCTAGGCGGTGTAGTCTATTGAAAAAGGTTACTAATTGCCTTCCCTCGTCGCCGCACTCAATTCTAGCATTTAAACGCGCGATGGATGAGCGCCAGGAACCCTTTTGTTGAAGATGTAGCGAAGAGGTTCAAGTTGATGTATCACCAACAAACAAAATTCTTACCTGAGATAAATCGATACTTGAACTGTCCACGGGACATCTCAGTCGGGCTGCTTGCCTAGAAGGTGGATCAATCCAAATGTAAAGTCGCGGCATTTCAATTGCTTTGCCGGCAGAATAGAAAAATAAGCAATTCGTTTGCAATTATCGGCGAGAATTTGTCGATTTGTTGAACCGCTTTAGCAAACAACCGTATCACTAGACGCGGTAATATGGAATTGACAGCTCATTTCAATCGCGTCGAAACTGACCTACTAAAATGGGTATCATTTTCCACTTGACAAAAGGAAATTGGGCGTCACCATTAATTATGAATACTTAAAATACAAGAAGAAAAGCGCAATACTTTTCCTCGTGAACAGAATGAGCGTACTAATGGGCTTACTTGCTGCCGCAAGGTCTCATTGTATGCAACGTGATACGCGAGCGACCGCAACAAAGGGCAACAAAAATTAAGTTTGACAATTCTTTTCCGCGAGAATGTTAGCACTTCCGTGGAAAATGTTGACAATATGTCATAGTATGAATGTTAAAGTTGAAAACTGAAAAGGAGAAAAGGGAGATAAACAAGGAGAAGCGGAAAAAAGAGTGGCCTAGTATATGTTTTTTCGATCTGAAATATGTTCAATCGCGACAATATTCAAAGGTTTAATGCAACCGCGAAAGGCTTCTTTTAATAATTCTTGCTAATCACTTTAAGAAGGGCCAGTTTGCGTAAATTACCATATCTGGTATCATTAACCAAATGGCATAACAAAAAGATGAGTGGAAAATATATTTTTAGCCATTACAAATATTACGATCCCTCAAGCCCTTATGTCTTATGCATAATTTATCCGGCCCGGACAGCATAATGTTACGGTACTAAATGGCAAACATCAGCGTTGACAATATTGGGGCTAAATTACTTTATCGCGATCCTAAATATTGAACACCGATTTGAAATTTCTTCTTTCAAGGCATAGTGAAAAACAATGAGGATTTTAATAAGTTGTTTGCTGACTCTTTGGCAAACAACTACAGAAGTTAAATTCCTTTTCTGTATAAACAATTTTTTTCTTCTTGAATGACCTCACTACTACAACCTACCGCATTTTTACCCTAATCCAACCATCGACAGGAAAGATACGTCGCGATCAAATTTGGTAAGACTGGATACGTCCACTTTTCATGCAAATGACATTATTTGTGAAAAGAGCACTTGAGTTGGCACCATCAAAAAGTAAACTATTGAGTAAACAGAACTGTATCTGATCAAAGCGAAGCAAAAATTTTGCTCGTTATGCCCTGCTTGATTGTTCTTCTTAAAAGCCCAGTTTTTCAGGCATAACAATAGATCACGCAACGAAAAAACCAAGGTCACAGCTCTCACGACCCGGATAAATTGATAATGCAGTTTCGCGATATGATTTCTCACGCAACATGAGATACCGTGGAACTGAGGCACGCAAAGTAAAAATTTCAATTCCGGTGCGTTTTTGTTGTTTACTTCCAGGCATTAGTTCGTTTACTCAGTAAAAACGCTTGTGTGCGTTGAATATTGTGTTGAGTTTCTGGACATGACGTTCATAGACTGGAAGAAAGAATTGGTGTTGACTCAACCATTAGTTCTGCAGAGAATTCTGTCAAAGCAATATTGCAAACAACACCACAAATTGTAAACTTGTCACGAGTCCAGTCATTTTATGTCAGTTTCACTCATTGTCACGCAACTGTTTCCGAGCAGTACTTAGCTATGAAGATCAACACCTCAATAAAATATGAAAAAAATTGTATTTCTTTTGGCAAACACTCCAGAGAATTGATGCTTTCTTGCCACTAATTAAAATTTACCTTTTAATTTAGGAAAGGGTGTGAAATGCCTCATGGATGCAAGATATTATTGTCTTCTTCCGCCCGAACGGAGAGAATTCAATCTTTTATGTACAATATTCCTTGGCTCAAAAACCACAATTCCTAAGAGCGGCTGGTGTAATTTACATGTAATTGTCATCGTTGCTGTTACTGATCTCAATACTCTTTTTATCTCCATCTCACGATTGCGTAATTTGACTGAAGCTGCCTATCGACCGAAAATAAAAGTCTAGCTCACTTTTTGAATTGATCAGGAAAGCTTGATGGTTGGTTTGATTTTGGGTTCCAATTACCGAGATCGGAAAGATGGAATTTCCGCGTCAAGGAAAGAAACACGTAATTTCCTGGGCAGGAGTTTGATACAAATCACACCTTCGAAGACACATTGCAAATTTCTAATCCGAACTTGATGAAAATAGAAAAATTGCCAACAGACCAACTGAGTGGAATGTAAACTATAGAGTAAAATTGATTCATAAAGATAAACATCTCTCGACTTTTTTTTGTTTACGACAGGCTCAATAGCTCGAAAGGAAATTCTTCTTAATTGTAAGAAGCACCATAACAACATATACTGTTTACATTGTCAGAAAAATATATTCGTTATTCGAAAGTTCCTCAACCTCTGTTCATTGTAAACTAGACAGGATCAGTCCTACCGCGTACAAAATTTTGTGAGACAGTCCTTCCCGTGATCCGTCCCAAACACAACCAAAATTCTACTTTTTCCCAGAATGCTTCATGAAAGACAACTACGTTGTTGCTTTGATGTCAAAAATATTCCAGAAACATACGACTATTTACAAAACTTTGAAACAATTATGGATATTTAGGACAATATACAGAATCGTGGGAAAATTCAAATTAGCTCGAAATGAATGAAACTAAAAGCCTTTCGAGATCACCTAAATGAACAAAACAAACGCCACCGTTACAAATCAGGTTGCCAACTATTCCCTAGTACACCTAAGGACTTTTGAAGGAAAAAATCGCTAATTTTTGGTTCCTGTTTCGAAATACTCTACACAATGAGTGTTTACGATTTAATCTTCTGTGCTGAATAGGCCCTTTGTATATCGATCGCAGCTGAGAGACTTCGACTTCGCCGACGATCAGTGTCAGAATTGGTTCAAAAAGCCAAATATCACCGAGATAAATTTATACTAACAACGTTGTAATTTTTGCGATCATATACCAGCTAACAAATGAAAGATAGTGCGAACGCAATTGGAAAAAACAAGCTTGCAGGTTTTAATAGAAACCCCCACTGTGAATACCGAGTGTCATGAAATTGCTTGTAAAAATATTTGCACATTCTATCAAATTTTTATTCAAAAATTCGGTTCACGCGTAATACATAATTCGCCAAACAATGCAACAGAAGACCCGACAGAAGGGAGCATTAATCTTTGCAACAACGAATTAGTTGAGATTTAGCCGATCGTCCATATAAATCCCAGAAGTCGTCGAGAAATAAATTCTCTTCTGTCACTTTACTGGTTTCACAAGATCTCATCTCAAGTGCGAATTGAAATCCACCAGATTTCTTTCTCTCAAAAGAAGTTAACCAGCTTAAGATTATAAGTTTACAATATCAATCTACAAACGATCAAGAGGAACAACAATACAGTAGCTTACCTCGTGTTACTGAAGGCTCCATTAAGACAAGAATCGCAAAATCTGTGTCCACAAACGGACACTTGAACGGCGTTTCGAACTGGAAGATGACATATGCGGCATAATAAATTTTCTCTCACCGCCGGGACAAAATACGCGCGGTACCCCGGCATAGTCTTGAAGAAGATCCTGTTATACTTTCACTGCAAGGAGAATAGAGTTGTTGCTCTCATCTGTTCCAATGCTACCTGCTCACATCACGGCTGTACTTTGTGACTGACCTGCGAGAAGTTTTTGTTGTTTGAATACATTTTGCTTACATGTCTTGACTGGGCATGCCCAGAACAATAGCGTCACATCAAAAACGTGACAGAGCTGGGGTGTAATATTTACATGACAGGCTATTTGGGATAAAACTATGTTTCCGGTTGGGATTAATGTCCCTTTAAGATAAATACAATTTTTTGTGTACACACATGTGGGTGCTTTTACGACGAACATTTCTGGACATTTCTGCGTTGTTTGAAGGGCTTTGAATCGTCTACGGAAACTAGAAAGCTCAAAATAATTTGTCATTGTCAACACGAAACTATTAAGTCTTCAGTAAACACAAAGAAAGCGTGTTTCTATGCTAAATTTTATATATCTGTCACTCCAGAGGGAAGAATGTTCATTATACTTTCTGCTAAACATCCATTAACTATTGTCATGCGTCTCTCATCAAAAGCATCGTTCTTCTGGTGAAGAAAAAACACCTGTTCATTGTAAAATATTGAATAAAGAGCTCGTGGTTTTAACGAGGAAACCACAGTGATCATAAAACAATGCACCGGTTCTTGGTTTAGATATCCTGCGTAATTTTCACTCCACCGCAAGTTGTTGTTGTTTAGATGTCCGGAAACAATTCGAGCGGGCACCTCCTAGACTTACCTCAAGTAGTCATCGACGAATTTGGACGAATTCGATGTATATCCGCTGTTGAGTTGACAAAAATTGGGAAATATTTCAACATTCCATTGAGTCCTCGACTTTGTCTAATAAATTCTCCGCTATGAATCATTTCCGAGCAATGTTGCTTGCGTTCAAAAATTTCGAACTGATTTTGTCAGAAAAGCACATAATGACAAATATTGGATGAGAAACTTGAAGCTTTGTTCTCATAAGAATTAGACAATTTTCAATCAGGCATATGTCATTTTGAAGAAAATAAACCCGATTTCCTGATTAAAATCTTAAATATGACATTTTCCCTTTTGTGAAATGAGCAATACAATTTTTCCATCAACAAATTTTGGTTTGATGACGCAAGTGTAAATGCAATTTTTTAATATCCTTAAATTAATTTGTCACTTGATACAAAACTTGTGGCTTTTAGCAAGATAAAGCCCATTAGACAATGTGCTGAGTTATGGTGGCGAAAAAATAAGTTGCGCAATTTTCTAGCAAGCTTTTTTAAATCCAGGCACTGTTTACAGAAGAGAAAAATAGAACAAAAACTGCTTTTTTTAGCTTTTTAAACAGGAGTAGTTATGCTCCATCTTTTGACCTGTAATCATAAGAATTTTGAATTTTTACAATCTCCCTCTCGTTTCAAACGCCCGTTTTTTTGTTTTTATTTTTTTCTCCCTGTCGCACTTTCCGTATGGGTCTAGATAAAGTGTTTAACACCAATTTGCAGCTAAATAATGCAGAAGGAATGAAGAGGAACATTTAAAACTTTAAAAGGAAAATCCCTTATTTACCATGGACCTGCCTGGAATAAACTGATCCTATCCACTGTCACTCTAACTGGTCTTTTCAGCAATTTTCTTTTCAAATGACAAAAGACGCACAGTGGTAAGGTACCACTGATCACATGTTATCCTTTCACTACTTTTTTGTTTTTGTGCAGCCCGAATTTTTCTACCAGTAAAAATAAAAAACAAAATAGCGAACTTTTGTACTTTACCCTGTCAGAAGCCCATCGATTGGGCTCTTGACCGAGCCGGTTCAGTCACTCTGCCTAAACAAACGAACATACCAAACGCTCGTGATCGCTATGGCGAACATGTTATCTTGTAGATGTGTTTCTAACTCATGTCAGTAATTTTAGCTTCAGTTGTGTCCGTGCAGTACGAGGACACTTCTTTTCAAACACGAATATTATTCTTCAGTCGAGTTCCACTCATCTCGCATTGGGCGTAACCCTTGATCTACACAAAAAGCGGGTGGAAACCTCCAACGTTTTTGAACGCTCCCTGTTCTCGACCGAAAGGTGCAATTTTTACTCCTAACACCCATAACCGTACCAAGAGAATATAAGCTGCATTCTATATTCTCTTAACCGTAAGAAGAACTGTTTTATGCTGCATATTACCTACAAAGACTTTCTTATATATTCCTTAAAATTAGCTTCAAAATTCCCAATGTTTGGTTTCTCTATGTTAAATTCCAGAACATTGTCCAGCAAATGCACCCTCATGCGCGTCGTATGTCAAACTAATGTCTTCCCAAACTTCATGACAAAACAGCGCGACTTCCCCATGCGCAAGTGGCGTGACATGTATAATCAGTTATCTTAAACTAGCGTGCATGGCAGGTGGCCATGAAGTGCGCTGCTCGCCTTTATTTTGACTATTTTCATCGAACACCCAGCAAAACTAGTGTAAACTAATCTTGTGTATTAAAGGCTTAATATTCTCAAAATAGTCTCTAAACACTGTTAAAAATGATTTAAGGCACTAGAACCGCCCCCTTTTTTTAAATTAATTTTCTTGCTTATTTTGTGTTGTAAGGACCCCTTATATTTTCTCATAGATATCATTTTTCCTTTCCTTTTTCTTCACGTCATAATGTAGTGTAATGTAAGTTCTTGGGAAGTATTGCAGTGTTGTTATTGTGCCACAATTTAAACAAATCAAACTTTTTTTCAAGGGTCTCACAGCGAGCACACACGCATGTCGCGTGATAAGGTAGAATCATATGATTTGTAGCGTCGTGAATCACCCTTTCGATGATTATCACGCGACTGTCTGGCAAGAAAACACCTTTTCATTAAACTGCACGCAAATAAACATATTTTAGTCCAAGTTTTAAATTGAATTTTACCAATTAACATGCAAATGGCTTGTCCGCTTTCATTATAATGGTTCGAGTATCTAATTCCTTTGTTCTTGTCCCTTAACCTCTCGAAAAGAAACTGAAACTTAACAAACCTATTGTAGTCCAAGTTTTGAATTAAATTTTACCAACTAACATGCAAATAGCTGGTCCGCTTTCATTATGATAGTTCGAGAATTCTAATTCCTTTCTTCTTGTCACTTGACAGCTCTAAAAGAAGCTGAAACTAGATGCAGAAACAAATCAAGAGATTATTATCTTAAAAAAAATTTATAAGCCGAAAGATTTTGATGATCTACGAATTTTAGAAATAATTAATAATTTTTTTATGTTTATATCTAAAAAATTCAGGAAAACAGTGTACTTGACAACTAGACAGATGTAAAAAAATGCAAATTGTACCACTCATTCCCAATCATTTAGGATTTTCTACGGTATTTGGCCGTGAGAAGCATGGGCTCCGAGTTCATCAGAGAACCCCCCCAAAATGCGGCTGCACAAGCTGCAGGCGCTGCACAAGACGGCAGCATTACCACAAAGAGTTTCCACATTCCGAAGTTGTCGATGACTCCAAATTTTTCAAAGATAACAGTGAAAGACAAACACAGGAGATGAACTTTCTCCGTCCAATCGACAACTTCGAAGATGGACAAGTGAAGAATTAATTATGGTAAGATGAAATTGTTTGAAGGTGATATCGATGGTACGTTTTAGTCCAGACTATTAACAAACGCGGCTTAACGAATTCCACACAACTAAGACTTCCCTGGAAAGTTTCTTTGGCAATTTTTGTCATTTTTGCACTGATAAACAAGACATCTTGAACATGCAATTAGCGAGTTTTCATCGACAAAATTTGTTATCTTAACAGAAAAACTGTTAACTTAGCCGCAATACCACATCTTGTTACATTCCTGTCGTTGGAACTATCACAAAAATATGCCTAGAGTTGTATTGCTTAATTCAAAACCTCAGGAGAAAATTTGTAAATGGCTTGCGCATTAAAGAAATTTTCCCCACACACCAATAGCGAAAAATTAATAACCCTGATAATACTCGAAGTCGGACTGACTCCCTCAAACATTACTCTATGCTACAAATGCTCTAACTGGCACTCACTAGTTACTCAGCCATGAATATGTTAGAGGGAAAACTGACTCCTTTCTCCATCCAAGCTGTTGTTCCATATTCTCACACGTCTCACACGATGTTCAGTCGCAGTTTTTAATAATAATAATAATAATAATAATAATAATAATAATAATAATAATAATAATAATAATAAAAAGTAATTAAATACAATTACCGCACCTTGTCATACCAGTCGCACTTTGTAATACCTCTTATCGCAATTTGTCATAAAGGCCCTGTCAAATTAAACACACGCAACATTTCAACACAGCATCTTACAACGTTGTGGCGCGCTACGTGTTGCACATGTTGACCATCCCATAGCAACATGTTACAAGATGTTGGACGGTGCTTGACCAAGTTTGAAAATGGTCAAACTTCGTTGCAACCATTTTGGACGTTGCATGATATTGCGCTCCTTCACAGCATCTTACAACACGATCCAACAATGTAGCAAGATGTTGCGTTTAAATGTCGTGTGCGTTTGGCCAGGCCTTAAAAAAGCTCTTACTTTGCGATGAAATTAGTTGTCGCACTTTGTGATAACAGACCATCGTACTTTGAAATGAAATAAGCAGTAGCGTTTGTAATAATGCTTGTCCCACTTCGTAATACTGAAACTTGATATAGATGGATGGAGGGCAAAGAGCCCTAACTGTCATTCCTGTCATAAATGATGACAGGTATAATGATATAGATAGTAATAACACTAGTGATGTTGAAAATGACGAGAATGAAAATGAGGATGATGACGATATTGATATTAGTAATTACAGTAAGTTATTCTTCCCCAAACGAGGACACCGACTTCAACTGAGATCTTCCTTGGAAAGTTCAGTTATCAACTCCATCTATGCAAATGACCTCGAGGCTCCAAAGTAGTGTCAATAATAACGAAAATCGGAGTCCGTCAGGCGGGAGTTGACTGCTTACACTAAATCTTAAAATATTATCAATAGCACGAGGAACTAAGAGCTCAGGTTTTATGTGATGACTACAGACGTCACGTCCTAAGGACACTTTACTTTTACATAGAACCCGATGATACGAATAGGAGCTAATTTCCGATACAAACAGCCAACTTTCGCTATCATGAACAGTTGACTAAATGAATTCAAGATTTCAATGAATTCAAGTCTTAAACTGTTTTTACAAATCACGGACATTTTAATCAGCGTCTGAAGTCTAGTTGATTCGGCGGAAATCGCTTGAAGGTGTGTAGAACACAGATGATAGCCATATGTGACTTCAGTACAAGTTTAGAAAAAAACCAAGATTTAAATTCCAACGTTTCTTTTTATTTACAAGTACGTAGCGAAAAGTTAAACATACACAGGAAAAGTACTTTGCTGTTCTTAATTGATTTCTACTTCGCTTGCAATTAATTGTACATTAAAAATCACGTTTATTTTCGTATTGTATAAGTAATTGTTCCACGTTTAACTGTTTCACTACAATACACGAACGGCTGCTCGCCGTGCAAATGAACCACGATTACGTAATCGGTAATCGAACATATTGGAGCGTAATCTCAGACGAAAAGCTAAGCTACGAAGACAAGGCTGTTGTGCGGGATGATTTCTCTCATCTCGACAAATTAATCTTAAGTGCTCAAAATCAGGGTTTATTTTCATTCAAAGCCCATGCAAAAGAAAGAAAGAAAGGGAAATGTGTATCTAACAACGACAATCCTCCGTCACCTCATATTCTGCTAACTAACCAGTTTTAAAATGGAAATTCCATTTTCCCCTTATGTGACGGAATTGTTGTTGCAACATAACATCTTCATTTTAACACACTTAGAGCGGCGGAGTAACACTCGATGTCATAAATTAGATAAATTCTATTATAATTATTTTTATTGGGATCGCAACCTCATCGGTTAAACTTTCCTGGGAATCACCTTCTTGCTCTAGAGAAAGAATGTTTTTTTTATGATCGTAAGATATATTCACAACGAGAACTCAAATATAGAAGGCATCTCGCGCATAAAAAAGCTAACCAGTCCTAAAAACTGCCGCGTAAATAAAATTCTTAAATAGCAAGAATAACAGCATGTATTTCAAATCTAAAAAATTCCTCTTTATAGGCACCACGTTCTGATTTTCTAAGGAAATCCCCCCTAATTTATAATACAAACCTCTCGGCGTTTTGCGACTTTGAGATATCAGCGAAATAATTTTGATGTACAATCAAACCTCCTCTGAGGGACGCCCTTAAGTGGACATTAAGGTGTGATTATACTTTTATTGCGAAAAACCTTCCATTTTTACCCGCCCGACACTTTCTCAGTTCAGTGTGCATGCGTGCTTGCGAGTGATTCAATAGTTGCGTGCACATCGACCTGCGATTAACTGTTTAGAGCCTTGAAAGGTGCTCTGGTAATTAAAGTTGTACTACTCTTTAAGTTCTTAGTACACAATTTTTTATCTTACGGCTCACTCAACCCGTCGCAATCTACTGAAATCTTGATGTATATAGTATCCTCCTTGATGTAGTTACGGGTTTCAATCTCATCGTGTTTAGCGAACTTTGCTCCTCCAAAGCTAGCATTCTTTTCAAGCTTGGGTCGACCAAGGAACGGTTCATTCTCTGGACACGGGTTTGGTTTGATGCTGAATTTGATATGTTTTCGCTGTGCGTGATCTTCGTTCTGATCAAGAAGGTAAAATGATACCCTGTAGTCGAAAGGCCACTTCAACAAACTGTCAAAAGCGCCTGCAACAGAAATCGATGAAACACCAAAGGGTTAGGGGTATTTTCAGAGTGAAGACAAATAGATCTCGAGCCTGAATTCTCTAATTCTTGACTCTTGACTAATTCTTGACTATTGTTCCAATACAATGAAACCATCCGAAAAGTGGCATTTCCCAAAAAAAGGATTAGTATTGTCAGGTGGCAAATTCATTACGTATAACTTCCTTCATATCAGTTGATAAAGAGAACAGTTCTATCATTTTCTTCATCTGAGCTTTTTATGGTTCTTTACCTCTCAACACGCTGATGAATACAGACATGTGCGTTCCCTTTCCCTTTCCATCGCCGTTCAAGCAAACTGATGCACATAAGCGGTATCCATGCTTGCTGGTCGTAAAAGTAGGACTAAACAGTGTGTCTCCATTTCCGGCCTTGGCTTCCTTTAGCTTCCGCGTGTAGTCCTCGATTCGCCAAATGAGTTGGCTGTTTGCAATTTTCTCCAGATCTCCTACACGCTTGTCCTGTGCTTTAATGAGGTCAGCCTGCTCCTTAAGGGTGTTTTCGTGTTTTCCCAGTGTTTCATCTAGCTCTTGGATCTTCGTAAAGACTGCTTTAACATGCTCGATCATGTTGCTTTTGTAGTGCTTAGGCATTTTCTCTCTGCTGCACTGTAACAGAAAAGATCAAGTCATCTTACATTACCTCCTCATAGTATGTGGAGGAATTACAATCTCTAATTTTTTTTGAAAACCTTCAGAGTTACCACTGATTAGTACATTCGAGAAAGTAACGTATGATAACTAAATTATACTTTCCGAAAGTAAAGGAACTCGGAATGTGTTTTGTTACGGGCACTGGAACACGTGGCAAGCAGCGAGGGTTCCACCATGAGTCCCTAATTTTCTGAGTCCATTTACATCGTTTGCAGGCCTCCCTTGACACAAACATATTAGAAAACTGATCAATATGGACCTGATTATGAGGCAGGATGCAATTGCTGAAAGACATACCCTGTGTGTGCAGCCGATGTACTCAAATTCACACATCATCTTCGTCTTCGGACAAACTTCTTCGATGTGCTGATCCAGCTGTTTGTGAAAGAATTCAGGTTCAACGATATGTTTACAGTTTGAACTAAAATTGAAATCAATCGTTCTAACTTAAACCATGATTCATCTAGTATAACGAAGTATTATTTAACAATTGAGAAAACCTTTAATCTTATCAGACCAAGGAAAAGAAGACGGCTTAACGTCTCTATTCGAAGATAACTCTTATATCTGAACTCGATGCACTAGAACCCATGACCAGAAACACATCTCCTAAATACAACTCAACTTTAACTCAGTGAAACCCACTAAGATAATATCTTTTGGGTTCCCAAAAAATTCCCGATTCTTAATGGGAGTGATGAGTATCAACAACCAGAACTTATGAGGATGCTTTTGCTTGGCAGCATCTATCATGAAAAACCTAATACTGTAAACGCCTCCAAACTCGTACCTCATCTCGAGGAATCTCCAGCTTTTTGTCACATTTGTTTGGACATGGAAGAGGTAGTTTGGGACATTCGTCTGCCAGATGTGCCTAAACAAGCGCCAAACAAATAAAGTAGAAGAAGTATGTAATATTTGACTGATCCATTGAGAGAGTGGCCAATTAAAAGTATGTTGTTGTCATCGATGTCATCATTATTGTCGTCATCATTGCTGTAATCCATTCGGGCTTTTGTCTTTAGGAATATTTATATAGTAACTGAGGTGGGGTATGGGTATTTAGGAATTATGCCACTGATAAGATTAATTTCGCGTCCACTTTTTCGGTATACTTAAAACTGTGTACTATATGTGAAGAAATAGGCCAGGTGTGATTCTCGTCAGGCCATAAACTTGCGAATACAAATAACAAATGTTGATGAAGTCACTATGCTGTTGAATTTGCCCAGCCTGAGACATGACAGGGAGATGCTCCTGATTTTTACCTTTTTGTCCTCTCTGAGATGTCTATCATCGCAATATGGGCAAGCAATGATCTTCTTTGGGCAATCTTTGTCCAGATGTTTTTGCAAAAATCTCTTCTGGAACTTTGCACCACAGTCGTTCATGCAGAGAATTTCCGCGTATTCACAATTCGAGTTTACGTGATCCTGTGAACACAAACAGCAATATCATTTTAAAACTATTAGTATAAGTTGGTGTTGCAGAGAGGAGGGGAAGATGATTGTAGTTTGGTCACAGACCTTCTATATCAATCTGTATCGTCGTTCACAAAATAAGAACAGCGTGGGATTCAACGAACGCACACGCGGAGGCGAACTCAAAGGGGTTAGGGAGTGAGTGACCCCGTACTCTCGCGCTCACCTCGTGTGCATGGTCCCTCGCTTGACTTATGAAAGAAATGAATCAATGACAGTGATAAAGAAAGCCAAATCTGTCCAAAATAAGCTAGATGTGCGAGCTGCTGAGGGTGTGAAAAGTGTTCCTGATTTCCATAGGGAACCACCCATGAAACGACACCTCGCTTGAATTTACATCATTTAACACAGTGATGGAAGAAAGTAAACACAGAACACTTAGGATAAAATTCATTCTGCGAAAACCCACTTTCTTGTGCGATATGTTCTCCGGAACTTTGAAATTACTTTTGTGCTAAAAATACACCGAAAACGGTGTTTTAATGAAAATCCTTCTATATTTAGCCTAGAAAAGCGGAAAAAACGTTGGTCACCGTCTCTTGGTTTCAAAATATTTTCTTTTTCCCTCCCGAGTGTTGTTAAGGATTTAAGTTAGTTCAGTTATTGTCGTGTTCATGGGTTAATGGCGGTCCTCAGCATTCTGAGTAAACAACGAGTAATTTAGAAATTCGAAACAATAAAATAGGAAAAGCGTAAATAAGGATGAAATTCAATTCTACGCGGGATATTTTGCAGTGCACAGGTGTTTCTATTGTTTGTGATGATTCATATCCAAATTTTTATTCAAAATCATCGAGGCCCTCTCAATTTGTGTTACGTCCAGAGGCTTAACTTTGGTGGATAGTTTCTACAGGAAATTAATCCATCTGATTTGCTTTCGAAAAAAACTGCTCAGTATCCCTTTAGATATAGCAGAATCTCTGTTTATTCTTAATTGTTTTTTCAAACAAGGGACTGACATTTGTTGTAGATCTTTTGCGTTGTTTTTAATCCAAGGAAAGATAAGGAGTTCTATTATCGCGATCTCAGCAACACTTAGACAATATGGTCACTTAGGAAGTATACTGTTTATATTAAACACATTATGACAACGAATAGCGAGAGTAATTTAAAAATCCGTGGATGTAAAAAACCACAAGAGCGAGAAAAGCCAACAAATCACTGTCTAAGATAGCAAGTGATATAAACTTCATCCGACAGCTTCAATATCAGTCGATTCTGAGCAATACAATCCCACAACATGACTGTTAAAGTCTTGTTCCTCAATAATTATTTGCGATAGAAACTATTTTTAAATATGAAATACATTTTTTAATCAAGAGAAGAAAGGAAGGCAATAATGGCCGGCTACTTACCTGATAATTCTGAAATTCTCCTTCCCATTTGCATCCCCATTCATTGTTCTTGCACTTTACGTCAAGTGCTAAGATCTCGTTGTGAAAAGCCTTGTCAAGGTAGGCCTGTCAAATGAAAGTAAAATAAACATCACTCTGTAGCCTTTGAACAAAACACGAAAGGATTTTAAAGTAAAAAAGGGTTTAGAGTAAAAAAGCGACTTTAAAAAGCAATAAAAAAAGTTTGTGTAACCATGAAATTGAATGATGATTATTCAGGGGAGAATTATCTGGCTCTATTTCCCAGAATTCTCTAGCAAACTTGATGGCTTGCGCCATTTTCTATTCTCACGCGGAGAAAATTCCCCTGTTCCTACTCTTTTACCACTACATCCTCAAACAAAACCCTGTGTATTATCGATCACTGCATGTTAAGAGTGCTTTGATATATTTTTTCTATATGTTTCTTATTATTTGAAGCTAAAACTTCAGTACAGTCATTACAACTAGCATTTTGTTTTTTAGCAAAAAAACAGAAGTAAAGAACATGCCAGACACATTGCTTATTTTTGCGCTGCACAGAGAAACTAACAAATCTTTGTATGGCGATGACTTTCACTCAGTTGTAATTAAGGCTGGTGCTCTATTTTATTCATCCTTAAATTGCTCGTAACATGACTCCACAGAGTGATTTTAAACTCAGGTAATTACGCATTGACCTCAGATGAGGTCGGAATCACTTTCATTTATGAAAGTAAGGATCAACGATACAATCGCATATCAGTTTGATTCACGTGCCAGTTAGACCCAGTCAATTGTTCAATCACGTTTTTTTTTTCAAAGTGTTTGTTTGGAGTTGATGGGGAAAACCTGTGGAGATGTCCAGCTTTGAAGACAGTCAACAACAAGTATATATTTTCCCAAGAACTCAATACGAATATAAATTAAAAAAACATCTGTTTTTGATCGCATCCTGATTTCCCATTTCATTCAGATTTCAAATCAAATTAGTTGGATGGAGAACCTTGATTTTGAAGTTGTATACAAACAGATTAAAAAGTGAATATGCAAACTGCAACTTGCAGGGAATAAGATATTCCTGCTACTGACTTAATATTTAAAAAGACATTCAAGTTTAATGTTTCACGTACATCATCTTTGCTGATTGGTGTTTGATCCACCGGGCACCGCGGTTCGACCCTGTAAAAAGGGAAGCGAAAAAACATCATTGAATTCATACAGTAAAATTGGATGGTTAAAAGGGAGAAAGAAAGAAATCGAACGATCCGTTTTAAAGGCGTAAAATGGACCCCCAATTGCATGAATTTAAGTTGTGCTTGTTTATCGAGCGCCTGAGAGTTGAACAGATGAAATTCATTACTCAGTTACGTATTACACTAAACGAAAATTACTTCTTAGTCTTCGCATTTATTCTATTAAGAATGCCTCTATACCCCTCTTGTCCGAGAAATGAGGGTTATAATTAGAATGTAACGCGAAAGCAATTTAGCATTGGTTTTTCCTTTACGTAAGTACTTTGAATTACATTAATTCACAATTGAGTCAAAATAACGAACGTGTAAGATTTTCATTTCGCGCGGCTGTATCGTTTCACGACTTTTCACGATACGAAATCGTTTTCTAATAATAAGAGACTAAAATTGCTAATATTAGAATAAATTATTTTGCAAAATTTAACACGCTCTGAAAATTTAACGTAAATAGACCAAACTGCTTTTTGCAAAATCCTTGCATTTTTAATTTTGTCAAAATAGAAGCGATCGCGGTTACTAAGTGAAAGCTAAAAATGGAAACTTTAATTTTCGCCAAGTAAATTCAATCAGCAAAGCGGCTTGAAAATCGATATGAAAACGCGTAGTTAAATTAATTCGTCGCACGCAATGATGAATTTAGAATGCGGTTGAAACTAATAACTGCAGAAACTGAAAATGTGCATCTTTATTTCAAGAAGATAAAACAATAGCGCGTCAAAATTGTATCTTAACGACCTACCTTTTTAGCTCGTCGAAACACTTGCAACAAACGCGATGTCCGCACTCCCTTATAAATTGAACTGGATAACGGAGAACATCCCCGCAAATTGGACACTGATACTTCTCTTCCAAAGGATACACAAATAGTGACAGATCAAACTTCTCCCGCTCTAACTGGCTTGGAGCAGGGCTTCCACGACTGCTTCCCCGAGACTTCGCACTTCCAGTCGGACTGTGACTTCCCCCGGTCATGTTACTTTCCTAACATTCAAAGATCAAGACAATTTCAGCCATGTTTGAGTCATGTTCGTGACGCTGCGGTAAATGAAAACAAATCGTTAAATTTTAAACGACGGTGAAAACGAGCGTAAACATTTCGTGTGATATACCAGACGCCTTTGTATAAAGATAGATGAAGTGTGTTCGTTCAAAATAACTTCAAGGTTTTGCTAGTCAATTCTATCAGGTATGATAAATTATTGAATAGAATGTTATGCAATGAATGATATCATTGGCTGAAAGTCGACAGTTGCTTTCAGGCGTCAATCAACAAAGGTGTTTTGCAAGCAACGTCAGACCTCGATCGACTACTTCCATTTTTCGCTCCAATTTAATATCTTCACTGATGCCATACTCGAACCTTTGTCACTTGGATTTGAATTGTCAGATCACGATAGTTTCCTAAGCGAGAACATTTTTATAATTTTTTTTTGATAAACTATAGGTTCAATAAGTTTTGATTCTTTCAGGAAACTAACATCCACTGGCGGAAAACGGAATAAGCCACAAAGTGGGATATACAATTATTCATCGCGGAGGCAGTTAATAACGAAAACTATGATATAACAACAAAAGTAAATTATAGAAAACGAATGAACTCATGCTTCATACGTTTGTTTCTAACTTCACAGTTTGCGGTGATAATAAATTTCCGAAAAACCAAAAAAAATAAACGAAACAAAAACGGCCAATGATCTTGTGCATCATTAGAAAATGCATATGACATGTATTGAAAAATAATTTTTCTTCTGGTGGTCTTTTGAGGTGATTTGTTTATAAATTAAAATTACGTATATTTTTACGTCTATCGTAAACTTCTTCGTGACTGAGTTGAGTTCATCCGATATACATCTTTATTGTTTTCGCCCAACATTCAAAATATTTTTACTAGGTTCGTGTTCAATAAAGACCATTAAGGAAACTTTACAGTGATAGTTTTTTCCTCTCTGAAAAAATAAAAACTTGAAGATTAAAAAACAGCCGACTTTCAAAAGCTTCGACATTGAAACTTTGCAATTTTCGATACCGTTGGTGAACATGAAGTGATTTCGCTCCGAAACATTTTCACAATTCCATCCATCAAATCCCTCTATGTATGCTGACAGTTCAGGTCTACCGTTCAATTTGAAACTAAGTAGTTTGTTTGCACGAATTTTACCGAACACGCCGCTTTTTGAAACTAATACCTCAGCAAAATTGTCAGAATAAAGATTGTGCTCCGCTTCCCGTCAGTTTTGCGGTGAAATTCAGCTAAAAACAGTGCTTATTATTCACCATTGTTCCACAGTAGTAAAACTATATCCATCAGCCAGCTAGCACTTATACTCAGCCAGCAATTCACATAATACTGAGTATCGATAGCATTAATTAGCCTTTCTTCTGACAGTTTACCAGGAGGAATAAAATTCTAAACGTGAGGACACACAAATTACTGACTCTTATAACTCCCCTTTCCTTAAAATGTGTGATCAAACTAGACCACCCCATCTTAAAGGATTTTTAAAAATTCCACAGCTACGCAAGGAAGTGCTGTGTGTGTAAAGGCCATAACACATTGTCAGCAGAAACTCGGTACTGTTCTTCGAGAAAATTTAACGCAATATCTTCTAAGTTAAGTCGAAATTTTATCGCAAAATGACCTTTCTCGACCCTATTTTAACTTATTACCCGCTGTCTTTTATTTTCTAACAGAGTGCAAAATTTACGTGATGTTTTCCACTCCAATGTAAATTTGCGGGGATGTTTTTTGCGGTCCAAGCTAAGAATCATAATCTTAGTGCACTGACAAAGCCAAAAAAATTAGCGTGCCAGCAAGAATTAAGATGGACTCTTAGATCACACTAAATGATCGGTGTAAACCTCATCTATGTTCTGCATAATTTCCCGGAGCGGAAGAAGCAATGCTCTTAGTTAAACGACTTCGTCTATCAGATACCTCTTTGTCGGGGTATTTCTCTCCATTTTGAGAAACGTTTCCGTTTAAGTGTGGTGATTCTTGAACAGTTTGGCTCGATCCGATATCAGGCATCTTGTTAAACAACTTCAAAGATCGTAGCTTTTTATCGAAAGCTATCCACACGAAATAAGCCGCGAACGCAACTTATAAAAACCAACTTTACCGCAATACAGCACCTGCCTTCAGTAAGGTTCCACGACTGACCAATCACAGCAGGCGTACCATGTTCTTTTCACCTGCCACTTCAAAACGTTCGCAACTCAACGAATCAGGCCGAAGGTTTAAAGATGATTATGTATTTGTTGTCATGCTTAACAAAATAAACCGAGAGCGAACTTTCACTCGCAATAATTTTGGTTTTTACAATGAAATACTGAAAGTGATTTTGCAATCTACAGCTACAAAACCTTCATACTTAGAAATGATAAGAGGTAATGTTGTCAATTTTATCTTATTCAGCGCCGCTTGAATCTCGTTCTCCACGGCATCACCAAGAAAATTAAACAGAAAACATTATTTTCAAAGATTTCTAAAAAAGTAAAAATAGAACAGCTAATAATAGAGAAACTTATTAAAAAATTTTCAAAATCTTCCCATCTTAAATCACTTTTAAAATCAATAAAGGAAATCCTCATGACAACTACAGCGTCATGATATAAATAAACGTGTCACCAGGTTCAAGGTCGAAGGGAAGGAACGCTCGCTTATTTGCTGCTTTGTTATCTGGAAGGTATTTCTCATACTTACCATTTTGTAATGCAAAATTCGAACACTGTCGTCACGGTAACCAACAGGAGAGTTTTGGTTTTACGGTTGCATTCCTTGATTTAGTTTATAATTTTTCATTCTTGTCATTGTTCATTTTTGGGATAAAAAAAAAGTATGTAATATAACGTGGCAAGCAGGATCGGATGAAAGCATTTACATAAAGTGCGAATTGTGCTCTGTTAATTTCATTATTAAACAGAGATGAACTAACACTTTGATAGCTCTGCATGGAGTACCACCAATCAGTTGTATGACGTCCCTTGAATGAGAGAGGATTTCTAAGCAGGACTACAGCTTAACAAGTTTCGGTCAAGATAGTTGCTCTCTATAACTATTTGGATGTTGTAATGTCATTTGAATATCTGATATTTTTCCCCCGTGTGTTTTTAAGAATTGATTGCCGAAGCAGTAATTATAATTTTCAGAGTGGTATACGTGTTTCACCTGCTTCATTACTCAGAGAAGAAATGAAAACTCACTGTCTTATCAAGTTCGAGAAATTCTAATTGCCAGGTCATCGTGATAATGAGCAAATGGAGCTAAACAAAAGTATTACCATCTTTCAGCTATTAACATCGTAACAGTAATGCACGCTTCATGTCGGATGCCTCAGGACAAATACATAGAGTAAGTATAGCATACATGAAGGTTTTTCCTAGATACATAACTCCCGCCGATGGGAAGCGGGGAGAAAAAAGATTTCTTCTCTTAGTTTCCGAAACTTAAGCTCATGCTGTGGTAGCTTAGCCATTACTGAAGGTTTATAATTATACAATTCATGGACATCTACTTGCTTTTTACTCGCTTTGGAGATCTGATCAATAATTGATGGCTATTGAGAACAAATGTAGCCTGAGTATATCTAAATATTGACCACCTGAGGTTGAAAGTTTTCTCAGAACATGTATTACAGGAGTATATGTACATACTTATCCCTTGAATTAATAGTTATTTTGCAGGTGAGACAGTCATGGGGCTCAAGAAAGCTCTCTTGGAAATTTAGTGTAAACCAAACAAAATCTGCAAAACGTAAAGCATGGCTTATGTCAAAGAAAGATGTTTGCAGGCTTGGGACTAAGCCATATAAGACATCTGATCTTCCCGTGAGAATTCATTAATACAACTCAAACTTAAAAAATGTTAAGACTGGTGAACGTAAGAAATGGATGGAGTAAATAGAGTGGAAGAGGGTTCGAAGTAATATTAAATTTTAGTTCGAGGTGATCGTTTATGGTCTATCCGAGTAATCATGAGTGAATATATAAAGCAGTTATTCTGACTACTGTGTTTATGCTCATACACTGGTTATAGCGGTAGTAGAAGAGACTGAGGAGCGGAAAAGCATGCGTGGAAGTCGCCTTGAATTTCTTTAGCTTTCTCACGTCTCGTTCTTAGAGATTCATGGGTGTTTGCCCCGGCAACCCAGCCTTTCCTGATCATATCATCAAGGTTCACTCATTCCGTCGCATTCCACAACAACCTTGATAAACATTGTGTTATCTTTGATGTACTCTCCTTTCTCGATGTCTTCGTGTGCAGCAAATTTTCCAGAGCCGAAGCTAGGATTTTTGTTGGTCCTGGGCCTGCCAAGAAACGGCTCGTTTTCAGGACACACATTTGGTTTAACTGAAAACATAATGTGTTTCCGTTTGGAAAGGTCTTTGTTCTGATCCAATAGATAGAACGTGGTGCGGTAGTTGTATGGCCACTTTAACAGCGAATCGTATATTCCTATAAAATACAACAAATAAGAGCGAACACTTCTAAACAGCCTAGCCTGCCACGAGCCTCCTTTAGCTCAGTGGTAGAGGGTCCGAAGTACTAATAAAAAGGTCGTAGGTCGACTCCATTTGGGAGCACTCTGAGTTTTCTTTCTTCAAGTATTCCTATATCATTCCTTGAAAAATGTCTTCGTTTATTTAAGACGTCTTATAATTGTTATCGGAATGGAAACGCGTACCATCCTTTGTCAACATGAACCTTTATCACTGGTGACTGACGAATATAACATATATTGCTCCTTTAGTTGTAAACTTTGTTAAGACGCGACCTCAGCCAATCTTGACCTATTTCAATAGCCTTTTCTGAAGATCGTTCTTGTTTGAGGCCCACGTATATCGTACGTTGCCAACTTACCTTGAACAACGCTAATAAACACAGATAAATGCGTTCCCTTCCCTCTGCCGTCTCCGTTCAAACAAGCGGAAGCCATTAGTCGGTATCCATTCCTACTCGTGTAGAACTCTGGACTAAATATCGTGTCCAACTCTCCGCTCTTTGCCGATTTTAACTTCCGGTGATAGTCGTCGATCCTCCAGATCAACTGGCTGTTAGTAATGCGTTCCAGGTCCTCGATGCGCTTTTGCTGTTGGCTGATTGTGTCCATTTGTTCTTTAAGAAGGACTTTGGATTCCAGAAGTTCTCTTTTCTGGTCCATGACAACGCCATGGAGCATTCTTACGTGATTGATCAGCTCACTTTTGTGGTGTTTGGGTAGTTTTTCTCGGTTGCACTGCAAGAAATAAATACTTCGACCACTTAAAAAGAGCATGGTTCGATTTTTTTTAATGAACCTGCAGTTTTAGGATTGCACTTACTCTGTGAACGCAGCCAATGTCCTCGTATTCACAGGTCATTTTTGTCTTAGGACACTCCTCACCGATGTGATAATCTAGCTGCAACGTAAATTATCACATGAGCATAAGAACTTCATATTTAAAAAAGTAATGTTAGTTGTTTTCTGGGAAGACAACCTGTCTCTTTTTAAAACGTCACTGTCGATACCTTCAACCGAGAGAAAACAATTCTGATTTTTCTCGCTTCAACATGATTTATGTCCTCGTCCTTATTATGTTCATTCCAGTCTCCTTATTGTTTCCATCAAATTCTTATCGCAATTATTATCGTCTTCATTAACATCATCTTCGACGTTTTTGTTTTTATTGCGATTGTCTTCGGTGATATTGCCGTCATCGTTTCCACCATTTTAACAACAGTAACAACTATATAAATCTTCGCCCTTGCATGTACCCCTCACCTGATCCCTTGTGATAACAAGTTTCTTTTCACATTTGTTGGGACACGGCATTGGAAGCTTCGGGCAATCCTCCATATGCATCTAAAACAGGTAATACATTCAAGAGAGCTTAGCATTGAGTCAAAAGGTGACGAGAGGGGAAGTCACTTCTCAAAACATTACTGTATGTGAGGAAAGTACTAAGTCATCAAAATAGTCTATCGGCTTTGTATATAGTTTTTCCTGGCGTTTTGTTGGATAAAAGAGACACAATGAATAGCAAAGAAAAAGAGTCAGATTTGCACTGCTTCATTTATCACTGTGGCACTTTGAAAGTATAATTCGAGTGCTCTATAGGGCATTTCTGTGGGAAAAAATCGAACTACAGTTACTGAAAGCACTTAAAACCCAAGTCAATATATGTAACTTAACCTGACGTGCAGATTTGAAAAACCGATGAAGTAGGAGATATCTCAATTTCCTCGACTCGGTTTACCTCTCAGTTTTCAAATAACCTGGATAATAAGCCAACCTTTCTTTCCTCCCTAAGATGTCTGTCATCACAGTAAGGACAGACAATTATCTTCTTTGGACAGTCTCTGTCTACATGCTTCTGGAAAAATCGTTTTTGAAATTTTGCTCCGCACTCGTACGAACACAACATTTCCACAAAATCGCACTCAGCAGCATGTTTCTACAAATACAAAAGAAAAAAGACTCGACGTTATTGAAACTCGCAGTGTATTATTTTAACAAAACCCTGATAGAGCGGCTTTTTTAAAAACAAATGCAAAGGTACGCGGAAATACTTTTGTATGCTTTATATTTAGTGAATTTACCTCAAGGGGAGAGTATCGTCGCTTCAACCTCTTGGTGACGAAAGAGCACACCAACCAGGAGCTCATTAATTAATGGGCTCCTGTACCAACTAAGTGTTTTGAGGGATTTCAAAATGGAATGGTATTTTTCTGATAATTCTTGTCAGATCCCTACAGAATGACTGGGTCAGGAGAGGATCTTAATTCTTTGTTATATCGGTTTTGACTGATCATTGTAAAATTAAATTTCCTCGAGATTAAGAATAGAAAATCATTCTTGGAAACCAAATAGTTCATATTACCTGAACAGTTTCAAACTCGCCTTCCCATTTGCAGCCCCATTCGTGATTGTTGCATTTGACATCAAGCGCTAAAATTTCCTTATGGAACGCTTTGTCCACATACGACTAAAAAAAAGAGGAGAAAAATGTTGTTAGTGAAATTATATGCTTTTATGAAGTACTCTGTCAGAGGACGTCTAAGTTCTTTACTGCTCAGGACGATCGGTCCGGCTAAAATTGATCTTAGCCCGGAACATTGGAAACTTAAGATTTATATTACAATACAGTCGTAAAAAAGGTCTAATTTTCTAATTGCTCCTTTGAAAGCTCTTAATAGAAAAAAAAAGTAAGCAGAGTTTCCCATAAAAAGACCGGTTGACTCAAAATATGGATGTGGCATCCGTTTTCTCATGTTTTGTTACTTACCGCGTCCTTGTCAATCGGATGCATGCCGATTGGGCATCTTGGCTCGACTCTGTTAATAAGAAATTATTTCATGTGGGTGAAATTAACTTCCAAACTACATCCATGTAGTTTTGCGGATAAAAAATTTATCTCGTAATAAATCATAAGCTGTTAAGATATACGTTGACTAAGGTATTATTCTTTTCATGACCAAGCTAAAACCGTCCCTCAAGTGAAGAAAAAACAGAAATATTATGTTCCAATTTTATAATGATCTTATCAAACAGAACAGGAAACATTTCGATGGGTAGGGGAACCTTCGCTTCGTGATCATACAGTGAACAGGGAAACAAGATTTTATGAGCAGACCATTTGACATCTAGGCTGTGGCGGAGGAGGGCTGTTGCGTTTGGGTAAATGTGGAAAGAATATCCCGGAACAAATTCACTCATTCACAAGAACTTACTTCCCCTCAGTCTACCCCCCACCTGCTTTTCCCTTCTTCCAAACCCGATCGATTAAACCTAGAAGGCCGACGAGAGATGGGAAAAATGGCGGACTTGTCCTGGACTTGCTCTTCGACCGCCCGGTTTCAACTCCTCTGCAGGGTACGGAAGGGAGAGTTCAGGGTTTAGGGGAGTTTAGAGGGGTTGATCAGTTTCCAAGAAGCCAAAGGGTCCAGTCGTAATAATTGTAACGAATGTGAGTAACCTCACCTTATTATCGACGGGAAGCAATTCCCGCATACTCTGTGTCCACATTCTTTAAATTGCACAGGGTTTAGCAGCACATCTTTACAAACGGGACATTGGTATTTTTCATCCAATGGGAAAACAAATGTCACGTTAATCTTTTCTCTTGGCTGTTGCTGGCTCGGAGAGGATGGGCTTCCTTGACCGCTGGTTGGTCTAGGACTGATGAGACTAGGTAAGCTTCCGGAACCAATTAGTCCCTCCTGTGTTTATTGGAAATATCAAGTTCTGCTTAGCTTGGGAGTTTTTTAATGAGGCAAACCAAACATAACGGCGGACGGGGGGGCAAAGCAAAATGAAGCGAGCACAAAACACAAAAATAGAACCAATTACCAACTCAATCAAAAACAGTGACAACAACTTGAACAAAAATGACGCCAAATTAAAAAATTAAAAGGGAGAGCGTAAAAAATTATGGAAAAGAATAATAATGAAGTGCCACGAACAAACAAGCGTGGGTTCAAATTCCTTCTGTAATGGAAGTTTTGGCTCGTACTTTCTTTCCGATCCTTATTGTTAAGAAACAGGAATAATGATAACGATTCTGATAATAATAATAATCGTTATCATCATGACACTAATAACCATAATGATGAACAGTTATAACAGCAATAGTGATAACAGCAACAACAACGAAAAACAATGATACAAGATTGTAATGAGACATTGCTATAATATGAAGCGAGGATAAGGTTTTGAGTTTCGCACATACTACAACAAACGTGATAATACTCACAACTAAGAGGAATTTCAGCGCGGACTAAAACAAAACGGTTCTTAACCATAAGCTTCATTTACTACTATGCATATTAAAAATTTATTATTTTTTTTCGGAGCTACTATTTGCCAACTTTTAATTTTATCATCGAATGTCCTCAGAAAATATTACAAGATCAGAAAAGTCGTGACACAAGAAGAAAAGAAAAGTATCGCAGAGGGAACAAATTAAGTACTCTAAGTAAAGTTATCCTTCCAAAATATTTTTTCAGTACCGCATTGAAGTGTTGACCTGACAACCAACAATTAAGAGGGAATATGTACTACGAAATCGGTTTTCGAAAAGAAAACTATACTGATTAGTTTAAAGCTCATTTTTTATCTGTGTTTTTACTAGGGAGCCCAACGGTACGTCTTTTAAGTAATTCTCGTCGTAAAGCAAAAAGTGGAAGTCAATTTTTTATGAGTGGCCGGTTAATTAAAGTGTATTGCATTCATTTAACGTTCTGATTTGAGCCCTTAAAAACAAATATTTTACCTTACCTCTTTTCCTTTTGCCACGGAGATGAATTCATTCAGTGACTTTTCACTTTTATTTTCCATTTTCAAAGTGATTCTAAACGGAAAAGAAACTCGTTTCCTCCCGAAAAGACAATTTAACCAGGTAACAAGTAACGTTGGTGTAAAGCGTACTCTAATTCGTTTCTTTTTCAACTACCAATTAGAATTAATCTATTTTTAACCATAGCACCTGCCGCCCGCAGAGTTTATCTCTCCACCAATCAGCTCTTTTGTTCAGTTATGAAATGTACTTTTCACAATTTTGTCGTTCACAGAGTCTTATTGAAGACGAGTCAATATTGACTTTTATATCCTTACCCTTAAGTTTATTAAGTGTTTAAGGACAGGCTACTGACAGACGGAACCAAAACTTTCAAGGCGCATTCATATCTCTTTTTGATTGCTTATTATAAAAGTGTCGAGAACGCCAATTTAGCCTCTACACCTTTCATCATGGTTTTCAACTTTAATTGAGCAAATTAGATTCAAAACAATAACAACGATGAACATTAAGACATGGAACTATCACAGAACGAAGCGCAAGCCGCCATGAACATGTACATGTGACCCAACCGCAGTTTGCACTTACACGTTGCACATTGATCGGTTGACGATGACGTGTTTTGTCATAGGAAAGGGAAGCAAAAGCATTCTGGCAACCTAATCTCCTTTAATTATTCACCTCGAATGTAAGAAACATGTTTGACACAAGCAATATATTTAAACAGTTGAGATAAACAGGTGCGAAGACCGCAAATGAACTCACTCGTCATTCTTTTGTCATTTTGTAACTTCCCAATGCGGATCTAAACTTGTTGGAAGAAAACAGGAACAGATTGGTTCCATAACAGAAAATACAAATGTAAAGGAGTTTTCTTTGACAACGCTCATGAAAATTACAATCATTTTAAACTGTACAGACCTGGGGAAATCTAAGATGACATTTACTAAACGAAAAGGAAAGAAAACTGATGGCGTCGATTGAACGCAAGAAATCCCACAACGATGTGAAATAATCATGATGTATACAGATCCAACAACTGATCTGCTCGAAGTGAAATAACCAAAGTTGGTAATAGACCCAACATACACTTTTAACAGAATGAATTTATTCACCAACTTTAATTTTGCACCCAAGCAATGTTTCGTCGATGTATCGTTTCAAACCTTTTACGCAAAACGTAACGCAGAGCCTAACGTGTAGAATTGTCGATCGGAAGCAACAAAACCGTTTGACTAGAGCACCTTGCCCTATTCAGTGATAAATAACACATAATAGCACGTACGTATGGTGAACGAGCTTTCTAGATCACTAGATACTACGTGGGTAAATAATCGATTGATTGATTGATTGATTGATCGATTAAAAAGCTAACACTTGACTACCACGGCAACAGCTAATCCGATTAGTTTTGGGAGATTTTAGTAGGATTAGAGGGGATTCTCATGGGACCATAGTTTTAAGAGCATTTGGGTCTCTACTCTCTCAAGCAAACTCTCTCTTTAGGTTCGTCACGAATTTCTTTCCTATGTTCATGGGGCTAAGTTGCGATTTCCGTGCCAGTGTGATTGTTGAAAATGATTCTCGCATTTGTAATAAGTGACAGAGACGAGGACAGGAGGGATTCTTCCTATAGCACGCAAAACTGTTTAAGTTCGTTGTTGTTCGATATGGAAAAAGTCTTCATATGATTATTTGAGCCCATTTTGGTGGATTCCTGTCTGTCATGGTTCATTTTAAAACCATTCAAATGGTGTCCATTACGCCCCTGTGCTTTAACCAGATTTGTAAGCCTTTCTACTTCATTGGCCAGCGTTTCGATAACTTTTTTGCACCTCCTTCGTTCCTTGTTGATCGATGTATTAAGTTCTTCGATTTTCCTTTCTAGTTCTTCGTTCCTCTCGCGTTCACTATCGATCTGAAGATACAGTTCTCCGATTTTCATTTCGAGCTCACGTATCTCCCAATCGGATTCAGGCTCCCGATTCGTGTCCTTAGCTTCTACTTTGGTTTCCTTCGCAGTTAACTGCTGTTTTAACTGCAAAAGAGAAAGTTAAACATTCGTCAACGCTTTGTTGGTGTAGATCACTTTCATAGCCTTAACTATGCAAACAAAAAGAATCAATTCTTCTTCTCAACTGGGGGTGAGTCTTGCTAAAGTTATTAGAGCGGGCATGGTAAGCGTAGACCCCGTAAGGCTTACGAGCAACCTTAAGGTTTAATGTAAGTTAAATGTATTTTAAGTTTGTTAAGATTGTCATTAGAATACGGATTTACATTCTCCATCTCTAACCATCCTCGTTACTTTGTGGTATATAACTAACTCTCCAGCACTTGTTTGCTCAAGCAAACCATTACGTTCAGGTTTCACTCTATAGAAAAGCAGTTGTCTTCTCATAAGAAATAACCCAAACAATCGTGCAGTAACTCCTTCTCATAGACGTTGAAGTAGAGAGTTACTGCATCCTAAGTCTGGATGCAAGCCTACCTTCTTGTAACTCCTGCCAGTTTTCTCAAGGGACTTGTAGGTCTTGATGTATTTTGCGTGCTGCACCTGCGCCATTTCTATAGTTCTCATGGCAGCAACTGCGCACAGCTGACTGGCATTACTCTTAACCAAGTGATCAAACGAGGAGTCCTTACCAGACTCCCACTCATCAAAATGTTCTTCCCATAGTTCTTCTTCATAGACGTTATCTCGTCCCAGGGCTAAGACGGGGTCGTGCTGCTCTTTCCGGTTTAGCAGAGTTAATTTTTCATTGAGAATATCCTGATTTCGTTCGTCCTCCTGGTAAATAGAATGAAATGAGTAAAGAGATATCAATAAAAACCGCGAACAAGAAACTATAGTACACAGCCAACATTTTCCACATTAACCTGAGCAGACTCTAAAAAAGAAAGTTTCTGTTAAGAGATTTGACTCTCAGGCTGAAAATGTAATTATTAATTATTAGCAAATATTACTTGTAGATATATCAATTATGACTCAAAAATATTGTGAGGATTCACTCAAAATCGGATAAATAATACTAAAAAGTTCTTAAACCGCATAACTTTTATTATAGGACTAACGAGGAAAGTCTGAAAGCGGCGGCAGTTATGATGAAAGCAGAAAGAATCCTTGTCTGTGAAAAATCGGATTAACTTAAACCTCTTCATTAAATGAACGATTGCACTGAAAAGAAAACATAGACTGAATCGTACAGAATACCTCATAAATGATTCATGCTTCCAAGATCCATGACATTAAGAACCCGTGCTAACAACAATCCGAAATTCTAATTATGAAGAACAATTATTGAAGCAGATGTTATTATGATTACTATCATTGCTGTGCAGAACGCATCTTTTTCATAGGCAAACAAATGGTTTCCGTTGCATTGTGAAACGAACAAAAATATGTTGAATAACACGCTATTTATGTTTAAAACCACAGAGTTCCAGCACGTGATAAAAAATCTATTTTCTTCTATAGCCCCCACTGTTAAAATAACTCAAACCATCAGAACGTGATCTTTTGGTTTGATGAAGATAGAAAGTTCACTTGTCACGAACAATAGCGAAATGTCAGGATCATGCCGTCTCAGAAGTCCTTGGGGTAAGAAATATGTGATAAATTTGAACGGAACAGCGGGGCTCCAGCAGTGTCTTTAGAAATACGTTTGATGTCTGTCAAAAAAAAAAAATTTAGACCGGCAAATTAAGCCCACGTAGCTTCAGTGGAACAAATTTTGTGACACTATTTCGCTAGACCCTCAGGGTAAAAGCGAAATTGAAACAATATTACCGAAACTTTGTGGTTTTATCACTAGCTCCGTTGACGAATCAGGTCACTCAATATCGACTGAAAACTTTTAAGTCACAACGAAAGCGGTTAATTGAAAATCAGAGGGAAATCTGTATTCAAAAGCTAGAAGATCACGGCAAATTCCTAAATAGAAACTTGGAGATCTACGCAATTCCCATTGCAACAAGCTGGCGATAGACTATAGTTCCCTGACCTTCCGATAAGAAGTCATTTCGTACACTCACGTTCTCGTAAAGAAGGAACAAAAACTATGCGCGAAATTTCCCACGCTTTCCATTATGAGAATTGATTGAATCGTAAGGGAGCTACAGCAATCGATGATTAACACAGCGTTTTTTTCTTCGAGTATGGAAACTAATTTTATAAAATTCTTATCAAAGAATCTCCGAACCTGATGACCACACAACGAAAGAAGAATATGATCGAATCCATTAAAGCAAATATACAAATGTAGACTCATTTATCAAATGACGGAAACGGAGTTTTGCCCAGCTTGCATGTGGCTTCCCGCGCAAGTGTTATTTACAAAAAAATACTCGGTCGAGTTGAGCCATACTCAAGAAAAACTTAAGAGAACGACGGGCTTTACTATCTACGATCACTGACTAGCTTATTATCAAACAAGATTTTAAAAGCGATACTTGATCGCGAAGGACGGATCGAAATTCGGTCGCCTCAACGAATAGTAAATTCAAGACGGAGGTTATAAATTAGTGATGAAAACAATACGCTTGTGTGATGTCGCAAAGTTAACGCAAATTCGCTCCTCAATGTAAAGCGACATGCAACATATTTTGCATCCAGCTCACTTACGTGACAAAGCAGGTTATGAAAGAATAGCGGAGGGACTTTGAAACTGCGCTCAGAAAATAGTCTTTAACGTCAAAATTCTAATATCCATATATCGAAAACATTCGTAGAATAGAACACTCGAAGATCTAATATTGAATGTTGAAGCTATTCCGTACCGAAAAGAAAACCATTTGAAAAGAACTCATTCAAACTCATACACGCGTATTTGCGTGTATATTTCAGCTACTTAACGATCAACACGACAAAAATAACATCAAAAGTGTACAATACGAACCAGCAACAATTCAATGATCTCCTCTTTGAGTTGAAGTTCTGCCTCTAAGAACAGCAACAATTTCATCATATTCTCGAACCTGCTCTGATCTCCGGTATTGTAGTATCCTTCACAAGGAGAAAAAGCCATGGCAGTAAGCGGCCGGTAGTTGGTACGCCGTTGACTTGGGAGATGAAACAAAGTATTGTGACAAAGTAAACCAAAATAAAAGCGAAAGTTCTCTAGCCCTCCGTCACATCTGTTGACGGTCAACTTTCTGCACTCTAATGACGTGCAAAATTCCCTTTTGTTACGCGGAACCCAAACTTAATTGTCATTCAATTGAACACAAACATTTGCTGTTACGTCAGACGGCAAAGGCAAACTGATATTTAGGGCCCAGTACAAGTCGGTTGTCCTTTACCTCTGAATTCCGGAACTTGAAGGCGATATAATTCTTCTAGCTACGTAATATCCTTAGACTCTTTTACTTTCCAAATTGCAATTTATGCTCTCGCCTCCAAGCAACTTGTTTTTGTGTGACAAAAGAATTTTTTTCTTCAATTATAACAGACAATGGAATCACAAGATTTAGCCATTCAGAGCTTTGTGGGTCGAGAATCGATATGTGCATGTCAAATTTTTGAACGACATCTCAAGAGCATGGATATAAAGCACAATATGTAATAATCTATCGGCAAGTTTTGGCCCGAATAGCCAAGATACGTTTTAAGATTGAACGTGATGATAAATAAGTCATATCATAAACTATGCGTGAGGCGAAAATTAGTTATTGAAAAGCGATAAGGACATAGCCATTGATAAGACCACAAAACCAAAGATAAAACTGTTCTTAATCCCTGGCAAATTTCTAGGGTTTCTTGGAGACTAAGTGTCAACGAAGGAAAAAATGATACAACACGTGTAGGAGCTTTACATTTCATGGGTACCGAAAAAGCATTAGCGCATCAGAGAGAAGGAAAAATTCTCAGAGAACACTCGTGTTAAGGGTCTCAATACTTTTGCAAAGGAGCTGAAAATTCTCTTAAAATCATTATTTTTATTGGAATGGTTTGGAAGGTAGATTTCCCTAGTTTTCTCTATTGTGAGATCTTAAAGACTTTTCATTTGCCAGTTTTCCTTTTTTCTGAAACTTGAAAAATCATGTGTCCACTCACGGGTCCACTCACGGGTCCACTCTTGTCGAACTTTTTTCGGGTTTTTCTTTGTTCCTTTTTGCTTCGTTTTCCTTTTAGTTGCTTTTGATGTTTGGTATGTTATTCTACGAGTATTACTTTAATCTTACGTTGTAAAAACACATGCTTTTTATCACGATACTCTTGTGCTTATTTTTATTCAAATATCAATATTTTTGTTATTATTATTATTATTATTATTATTATTAATTGTTAATAGGGTAATATAAACTTGAAATTCTTCGTCATCTGCTATATCTTACTGATGAATTGTATGGGATCACGACGTTGATCACGGGACGCGCAAAGAGATTGAACTTTCGACACGGGTACATTTATAGACTTACTCTGTGGGAGTCTACTGAAGTATTAAATTAGTTCTTTCAACAACTATGAAAATAGCGCTTTTCTACGAGGTGACGGAAACACGATTTTACACCAGTGACAAAATAAGAGAAATCCTCTTACCTTCGGAAGGAGCCACATCCGTTCTTTGCTATTCAATTTTTTTCCGATTTTCTGTGCGAGTCATAGCTGTCAATCGTTCCGGAAAATCTTCATCGAAAAATTTCTGCGGATTCAATCTCAGTTGACCTTAAGGAAGGCCTTGTAACTGTTTGGCATGCATTATGCAAATTTTGCGAGCCTCGTGTTTTAGAACTTACGCCGTCTCATTTTGATGTAGACAGTGGTAGTTTTGCATCATGTACTTGTGTGGCAAGCCCATAGTTTAAACAGTAGCAGCCTTGCAACACAAGTTTGGTAAGAGGTCCGTTTAGTTTGAGATCAACACCTAGTGAAGAGGCTCTCAGACAGACACACCCATTTGATGATGGGATTACCTGTCACCACATGTTCTTCATTGCAATCGAATCGTTCTGTTTTGTTTGGACGAGTCTTGAAGGGATACACTATCTCCTTGACTTTGCCCAACCTTTCTGACAGGCAGATGGACATGGGACGGCGCTAGTGTTCCGAATTATTGAACAAAAGCGTCACGCCATACGCCACTTCACCTTGGTGCACGTCCACAATTCGCTTGACCTCCAGCCGTCACTGATAAATCTGTTATCAGAAACGCGAGAAAAGAGTCCGAAAATATGCAAAGGTGAATTCTAAGGCTGCCGCATCTGCTAATCTTCTTCAATTTCCCTCTTCTTGTTTACGATACCTCACCCTTTTCAGTTGCCCTCACCTATTCGATATGGACACTCTGTCTGCCAAGCCCCATAACTTGATGTTTCACTTAAGGTACTGATGAGGTGTACTAATATTGTTGCTGTGGGTAGGGAAACAGGTTTCGTAGGTTTTTAAAAATGACAAAGACGCTGTAGTTAAGCAAAGCTAAATGAAGAATATTCTTAAGGAATCACGGAGGGTTCTAACTGGAAGCAACGAAACGAACTCGAGACTCGAGATCGCCCGCTGAACATTTGAGGTTTGGAAAACGACAGGGAACAGCGCATACAGCAACAAACAAAAACGATCTTTCTTTCGACATACGATAACTAAGAAGTTAACAAAAACGTCGAGTCCACAATAATATTTTAATAAACTTTGCGCTAATTTATTTCATTATTACAATAAAAGATAATAAATGCCTTCTGTGGTAAAAATAATCAGCGAGTTAAGTCTCACTACAGACTTTTAGAATTAAATAATAATTACAATTTTAATCTGATTAAGAAGCCAAAAACATAAATATGACTTAATTTCAAACTCACGGCATTAAAATAGCTATTTCAATATAAGACTAATGTAACAAATCTGATCTTCTTTTTAATAATTTTAATGATATTAATACTTAAATAATCACTGCAATGTAATCTCTGTGTAATCTCACAGTACTGTTCATAATGGGGTGCGATTTGCGGTCTCAATAAGATACATTGAACCTACTTATTGACTACCACACTGGAGCAATCATTGAAAGACTGTCACTTGTTACTTTTATGGAAGTTAATTTGCCTACAACGGAAAAATCATTTGCCAAATAAGTCACATGGTAAACCGAAAATGCCTTAATATTCACCTCCTATATTCAGTATAAGTTGAGACCATGCTATGATAAACCAGTAGGATATTGTTGTAACCTTCAATTCTTAAATAACAGATCTAAGCAAAGTATAAAATGAAGTAAAACATCTGCACTCTGTGGGTAGAGCCTGAAAAGTTCAACTTCATTTGAGAATAACTTGGATTTATGTTGGATTAATTGGCTGACTACATGGGATATTTTGTTGGATAATGATTTTTTAGCTTTGCTGAACTCCTGTCATTTATTTCGTTTGACATACAGATATTTCCCTAACATGCAATATTTTTAAAAGGACAATTGTCTAAGAGAATCAGTACCCTTGGTGGCAAGAAGAGCAGACTCCTTGAGGTCAAAATATGCTCACTGGGAGCTGAAGTGCTCCTGCATTAAATGCGAAAGCTCTCCTTCTTTCCATCAATGTGCCTTAACCGCAAATACACATCTGTACCCAAGCCCTCCATGGACAGCAGGTGAAGTGATCCTCCAAGATACGTAGCATAAGCACGAGACGTAGGAAGACCAAAGCCCCATCCTGCCATGGGACCCCCACTAGGTGAACTGCTTGGGTGTCCTGCACACATTTCTGAGAGGATATTGTCACTGTCTGAGGGCTTTATGGTGCTTCGGTCACCCATAGTGGTGAACGAATACTTAAAGATATCCTGGCGCTGGGACTCTGGGATGCCACCTCCACGATCAGAAATCCTGCAAAGATAGACGAGTTTATTTATTGTCGTGAAGGATCTTTTGGCTAAAGGGGCATGGTTGTCTAATTTTACCACAGCTCAAAGGCATTCAATACCACACAATGATTAATGATTAAAAAACTAAGAACTTGATTGAAGTTTGATTTGGTTGCTATTTCAATCAACTGTTCTAATCTAAATTTTTCCCAGGTTAAAAAGTATCAACCCAGTTTGCTAATCTTTTCCTTTGTCTCAAATAATGAATACTTCACTAAAAAAAATTACATTCAAACTGTTTGAAAACTTTAAAGCAAGGTGCAATCTGATCAACAACAGCTACAAAGGTGGATGCATGTTGAAGAAGTTGTTTTTACCTGACAAAGAATTCAGTATCATTGCTGCAGAGTGTGACTACGACATTGGGCACTTCATTAGGTCTGTCTAAGTGAAATTCCACACTGGCCCTAGAATAAGTCAGAAAACACATTGAAGTTCTCCCATTCAGTTAACCTGTGTCTAGCAGTTACAAGTATAGCAATCATACCATTACTATTACAAGAACAATCGAAAATGCTTATCAAAAAAGTACATAGGAAAAAAACTCAGATGAAAACACAAAGAGCTTTCCTATTCTAAATAGATGCCTTTTTATTTGAGATTTGAGACAAACAAATATCAAACAATGGATGCAGATTATAAAAATTAGCATTAGAAAGGAAACCTTGGCTGGTCAATAGAAACTCACTAACCTCATAGCATTTTTCAAGAGTTCCTGAAGAATGTATTCAAGAGGTGCAGGAATGTGAGGAAAGATTGCTTTTGTGTGGCCATTGACAATAAGTCCTGGAGCTACACCATAAGTATGTTCACAAACTTGCCTATAAAACAAAACACAACATCTGCCATCCCACTTTCTTCTTTTGCCTTATTCCATTACATTGCTCATATAAACACATGAGTACCCACAGGGTTTCTGTTAAGTTTTAAAGTAACAATACAGATATCTTCTATCTGGATATTTTGAGTTGACGACTGAAGAAGCCAAAAAAATTTGCAGAATAACCCTGATCCAAGTGACTACTAACAAGAAGTACAAGGTCCCAGCTCTGACATTTTTTCATCTCAGCCCCAAGACAGCAAAAACTACCTTTTTTTTTCTTCAACAGTTTTTAGTGTCAACATCTTCTTGTCCTAAGTAAAAGCTAACTAAAGGCTGTGAATATTACCACTGAAGTAATCACAAACATGACTGTACGCAATAAATTTTACCTGGCAAAGTCACCACTCCTCTCAACAATCTGTTTAAGGTTTAGGTGAGTACAAATAATTCCAATGTAGTTTGGCTGTGACAGAAATCAAACATTCCACACATATTAAAATGTCATTAATTTTTATTCCATTTCCAGAAAGAGGGAAATTTTGCTTCTGCATAAGCAAACAATTGAAAAGCAAGGAGAGAAACCATTCTCAGGTTTGATATCATGATCCAAACCTAGACTACTGTATCACTTATGCTGCTTTGCAGCTAAATGTATGTAGGTTTCCTCATTTT